CTGTTTTACCTGAATGCTGTTTGAGAGGACATTTTGAATCTTGACCTTACATTTGGTATCTCTTAGTGTCATCTCTGTCAAGTCAATCAATTTTTCAGGAATTCCCAGCATCCTCATGGCTTTCTGTAATTCCTTTCTGTCTATAGAATCATACGCCTGCTTGAAATCTATAAAGACATGGTGCAGATCCACGTTATGCTCGTATGTTTTCTCTAGCATTTGTCTTACAGCAAAGATGTGATCCACTGTTGACCTATTTTTTCTGAAACCACATTGATAGTCTCCGCAAATTCTTTCTCCCCATGACGCTAGTCTCTTGCTAATAGCAATGGAAAGGACTTTATATACAGTTGGCAATAGTGCTATTCCTCTGTAGTTATCGCAGTTCAACTTGTCCCCCATTTTAAAAATAGGACATAGAACTGCTGTGTTCCATTCTTCAGGTATGGTTTCCTGCACCCAAATCATATATATGAGGTTGTAGAGCTGCTTAGTTAATTCTTCTCATTCTTTATTAGCTCTGCTGGTATTTCATCCACACCTGGTGATTTGTTAAAGACATAATTATTTTCTCTATTTCTTCCAGCTGTATTTCCTGTTCCTCACATATGTTTTCTCTATTTCTATGCGTTTCCTCTTCATTACTTAGTTCTATATTTCCTTGATTCAATAATTTGGAAAAGTATTCTGTCCATCTATTTAATATTTCTTTTCTCAATCTCAGCAAGTTTCCTCTTTCATCTTTACAATAGTCTAGATGCGGTTTAAAATTGGTCCTTGCATTTCTTGCTTCTTTGTAAAATTTCCTAGTTTCTTTTGCCACATACTGCTCTTGGATATCTTTTATGATTTTGCTTTCTCAAGCCCTCTTTTTCTTTCGACAAATTTCTTTGACTCTTTTTCTTTGTATTATATAATTTTCCATTGTCGCTCTAGTTGTCCTCTTTAAATATTTGGCTCTCGCATCATTCCTCTCTCCTATTTCTTGTAAACGCTTGCTTTTACAATTGCTTTTTGGCTTTATATTTAATCCAAATCATTCGTATTTTTTTTTTTTTTTTTTTATGAGACAGAAGTGAATGGTCCCATTTTTAAGACCCGTTGTATTGAACATATCTCTTTGAATTTATCAGAGTAAAGGCCTGTCAACTACTAGCTAAAGTCCCTATTATAAGGCTCCAGTAACTGACGCCCTTTGAATATCCAATTCCTTCATCAAGATAAGTTAAAAACAGATAAAACATAATTTAAAAACACTCCAAAAAGCAATCAAACTAAAATTTTGGAATAAATCAGAGTAGTTAAAGATAAAAAGGTAAACCTAAGGTATGGCGCTCATACTGACAGATAGTTGTTCCTAGGACTATGTGGATTTTGGGGTACCTTCCTAATTTGCCACTCATTATTTAGGTTGTTATTTCCGGAAAGACTAAAGGAAATCAGACAAATATAGAAACTAAAAATATATGAAACAGTGGTCTAGGAGGTCCTGAAATTTTATTATTTCCATTTTTCGAGGAGGGTGTCATGTATTGGTACACTGTCAACTATTGCTACTAGTATTATCAAAAAACACTCCTTAGGTCGCAATTCCTAATTTATTTTTATTTTACATTAAATATTTCAGCCTTTAGGTCATTAATGTAATAGACACCTAATTTTACACACTTGTCACATATTTATTGTCTATTACTGAAACCACTCACAAGATTATTATTACTTGTGAGTGGAGGTTTAATTATATCAATGAACTGCTGAAGAATATTTGATTTCAAATTAAATTGCTTAGAATAACAAAAAAGTATTGTGTCCAAATGAATGTGATTTAATGAATGAAGCATTTGAATTACTAAAATAATTAGACCATGAAAGCAATGATTACAACACTGACTGAATATTTGGATGATAAATCCTTTCCAACAAACTCACCGAGTACTAATGCTATTTTTCATTGGTTACACCATTTCATTTTTTCTCAAACGGCCAAGGAAGATCCTTTGATGGTGGCAGATTTGTTATTTTAGAAATTTCTTCTAACTCTTCTCATTTTTAATCATCAGATTCATGTGTGTTTAATATATTTTCCATGCAACAAAATATCAAGTATTGAAAAGATATAGATAAAATAATTTTTTTTTTTTACAATTTTATTATTCTTTTTATTATAGGAAATAGTAAAAGAACAAAACATATTCCTGATTGAATAAAACTCAAGTCAACTAAACTAAACATTGGCCATTTTAATATAACTTTATACATTTGAAACAAGATTAATCTTATTAATTGTAAAAATAAAGTTAAATATCATATTTTATTTAAAGTTTATATCATGATTATGAGTATTTCGTTTTGAACAGTTGCATATAATCTTTTCCAAGAAAATAAATAAGTACATAAATGCATAATATAATAAATGGATGACATATATTTACATATTTTTGTCAGTAAAAATTAGACAAATAATGTTACTGAGTCGAACAGATACACCTGTCGTGGTTTAAGATATTTAAACTTCTTGGCCCGCAGAAGACATTGAGACCTCCTATAAGCCCCACAGGACATGCATTGTGATGAAAAAAAGTATGATCGATAAATGATACTTCAGTTCTGAAATGATTTTCAAAGAGAAACAACTCATAAAATAAATGATGTAGAGATGGTTGACCCTTGTTATAATATGAGAAGGAGTTATATCATATTAATTTATTTTATAAATTATATTCATTTATTTTATTTTCACCATGTTTTGTATCTTTTTTAGCCCTGAAGACGACCTGCAAAGTGGGTCGAAACGTCAGCAAAAATTAAATAATTACTATCTTTTAATTTAGTATTTATTTGACCCCCCCCCCCCCTAGGATAGCATCTGATGACTGACATTTTATAAATATAAAATGGATTGGAATAACTATTTTTTGTATTCTTATAAAAAGTAATATAAGCTCATATCTAGACTGTCCATATAGCTTAAATTAAACAGATAATAATAAAATTATTTTAATTACAATAAATCTTTGAAGAGAAATATGGTAGGAGTGATCAGCCAAAATAAAATAGTAAAAATATATATTTTTATTATATCAACAATCGTAGACAGACGCTACATTAATGTTTTTAAAAAGTTCCTTAATAAGTTTTGAAGGAATTTTTTTAGAAAAATTTTTGAAGAACTTTTGAGTGATAATTTTTTTGATTTATAAAGAACGTTTAATTTGTACCTATTAAGTTCCAAAAGAATAAAACGCCTGTTAAATGAGAAATAAATAGTGCCTTAGTGGGCTTGGTCTGTCTACGCTCGTTGATATAACAGACCTGATGAAGGCCTGAACTTCGGGCTGAAACATCGGTGAATGTAAAAATAAATATAATTATTTATTTTTACTGATCACTCCAACCATCCTTCTCTTCAATTATTCACTACAGTCAATCATCAACCCACAATTACAATAAATCTTGAAATATTTATAAATTTTACAAATTAAGAAACAATTTTAGAATAAACAATTAATTTTAACATATCTTATGTGGCAACAAGATTTTATTCCATAGAATTTTTTCTACAGGGAAACATTTGCTATAATAACCTAAATCTATAATATTTACTTATTTTAATTTTAGTTTAAATCGCTATGTATTACACTTTAATTTTATGTAGACTTTTCCATCTGTCAATATTAAAATATTATACAGTTATAAAACAAATACACCAAGAAATAAGTGATTGTTTCAAGTAGAAAAATAATGATAAATAACAGAGCTTGAAATGTTTTTAAAAAATTTCATAATAAGTTTTGAAGAACTTTTGAGTGATAAATTTTTGGATTTATAATGAATGTTAAATTAGAAATAAAAGACCTGTTAAATGAGAAATAAATGGTATCTTACTGGATTAAGATTACAGATATAATTTGTCTTGAATGAATTACCTGATTCTCACATTTCTTTTTTTTAAGTAAATAAGTCCTCTACACTTATAATTTTTTATGTTTACTATTTGATGATATATATATTGCTTTGAAAGAAGTTTTAAATAATAAGTTTATGAAAACTTAAATTAAAGACATGGTGCATTAATGGTGGTTAAAATGTTCAATGATAAAAAATTCAAGTTCTGAAAGGACAAAAAAACAAAGGAAAAATGAATATTCTAGTCACATTCAAACTGATTAAGAATAAATATTAAATTTTAATTTCAAATCCTAGTGAATGCTGGTTAGATATATTTTTTTTTAATCTATTTTTAAATTTTAAATGTTACATGGCCTATATTTCTTATAGTTTATTACTTTCAACAAAAAAATGTGTTTTCATTCCATGGTACCTGAACTACCATCGGATAGTTTCTTATCTTTGTTGGAACTACTTGAGATCCACAAAAATACAATATTATCCCAGGCATGAACATTGAAAAGGGAATGCTTACTTCCATTAATTCTAGTGACGAATGAATATTGCAGAGTTGAATTACAGAACCAGGCACCACATCTCCCCACTGCAGTTTAACAATAGAAAGAGGTCCTTCAGAGCTTAAGGGATGACTTTCATCATTGTTGTCCAATGGTGGAAAATACAACATATGTCCACATTTAATCATGTTCTTCTCAATATGGAGTATTATAGGAGGTAAAGCGACACGTTGGAAATTAGTATCTTCTGTTTCGTTCTCAGTGTTATAAACAACAAAACCGAATTCCTGTGCCATAGTTTTAAGAATGTTTCGAAACAGAGTTCTGTACCATACTGAAGGCAAACAGCACTAGTAGCCGTTTTTATACTAACAAAAAAAAAAAGTAAATGATTTGATTATATTATTTTTAAAATATAAGCTTTCTTGAAAATGAAACCAAAAAAAACTTATCAATAAGTATTTATAATTTTAGAATGGTCTCATTGTTAGAGAATATTAGGTTTGTTTACACGTACTTCTCTGTTAGTTTATATTTAATTAAACAAACGTTTTCAGTAATGACCAACCAATAAAAGAACTCCATTTACTAGGCCTAAGTGCTTGTTTTATAAAACAACAAAGAAGTAAATATTTATTCGAAATAAAATAAAATTTAAATTAGTATAAACGATCTAAATTTTCTTAGTTCACTTGATCGAAGTTTTAGAGTTGAGGTCCTGCCTTACAATCTGTTGTGTTTAAATGATATATCTAATATGTAATTCAAAACGCCCATCAATATTATATTCTACAATAACACTGAGATTGCCAGATGATGTATTTCTGTTGTTCATCACTTCGTTATCCATAAGTTTAGTGAAATAATGAGGAGTTTCAATTTTTTTATAAGGTAACCATGTTCTGTATTATTATTAATTTTATCTGAGCTATGGTCTTGTTTGCATTATCACAGTGAAATGTTATGCAAGTTTTTCATTAAACTATGAAATCATGAAGTGGTCCACTAGATAGTATGTTAATAAGGTGTAGATAACTTTTTACTTAATATTTAAACCTAATATAGTAGAATAAACTCTTCTATTTTAGAAAATAGATTGTAAAATAAATATATCGTTATATTTTTTTAAATGCACATTTCTTACTATAACTAGCTATGTTGAAAATGCTTTATTGTGAAGTAAATTTATTATATGGCATTTGACAGATGGGAACCGATCCACATAATATAAAAAATGAGTTATATCAAATAAATTCTTTAGTTGATTTTGTTATTTTCTTTCTATAGCATAAAACTCCCTGGGAACATGATTAGTAGCATTAAATATTACATCTCTTACAAATTGATTGTGTATATTATTTTATAGTTCGTAGAGCTTATTATATATTCAATTAGTCTATTTCATGTATCATTCATCACAATTTTTTCATTATTAACCATTATCTGTTTTATATTTTTTTCCGATTGTATTCAACAATTTTTCAGCCTCGATGATGATCCACATGCTTGAGTTGAAACATCGGCAACAATAAAACTCTTATGGCAAAATAAGATTTTGTTTAAAATCTTAAGGCAAAAAAAAAATTCAAAATATAATCCATTGCACTGTCATTCTCCATCTTTAGCCCAATTGAAGGTACCACTCTTCTTGGATAGCTATAAAAAAATTTCTGAACTGATGTGTCGATTGCTGAAAAGTAATTTTTTTTTTTCCTGAGCCATGGATAAAAGTTTTTGCGAATCTCCACCCTCTTTACGGCTAGTTGTGGCGTAAGCTCGTGTAGAATTAGTATACTACTCCTTTTTATCTTACCTATGGCACGTAGATGGCAACATGTGGCATCTTTTAACACTCCACACTCCTTAGCAAGATCAGGAGTACTTGTGGATGGATTTGATCCTACAGCTTGCTGAAAAACCTCATCAGTCTTGAGTGATGGTCACCCTGACCCCTTATATCTTTCCATGGGTATATCTCTACTAGAAAATGTTTTATACCATCGCACAGTTCACTTGTCAAGGGCATCTTGTCCTTTAGTTTCGTTGATTTCACAAGATTTTTTTCGAATAATGTCTTAAAATAATTTACTTATATTTAATTTATTTTATTTTTTATTGTATATACTTTTTACTATTAGTTTTCTGTATTTATGGTGTGAATGTGTTCATGCCTTATAGTAATTATTGTCCATGTGACTGATTGATATTTCTGAGTAAATAAAAAAAAAAGAAATATCAAGGATTTCATAAGACACTATCCTGTTGTTTTTTCAATAAAAACTTTTGAACTAACTCTTTATCGGGACAGTACATTGTTGGTAAGCAATAAGTAGGATTAACATGTTAAAAGTTCTTGGGATTTATGAATTTGACAAAATGGTCATTTTTTTTTTTTTTTTTTTGTATGCATCCTATTATTATTTTAATAAGGAGAACAGGTATTTAAATAAATAAAAACAAGGCTAAGTATATAAATTAATTGTATTATAAAATCATACAATCGAATCAATCGTAATAATTATGTCTTAAGTATGAGTGGTTATTTTATCTTATTAGAATAGAAAAGTGCAATCCAACTCACTAGAAACGATTTCTTTTTAATACTTACTAAAATATGCTCAACATATGAAAAAATATGTCCAGTTTTTTTTTTTTTTCATTTAATCATATACAAATATATATGTACTCTACATGAGTACATATATACAAACTTTTTTCTTAATTTTTTTTTAATCATTTAATGGACTTGCATATAAAATAGTAATTGTATTAGTTTTTATGTTTATTTTTTTTAGATTTAATAAAAATTACTTTAAAATTAACCAGAAATACTATATATAAATTCTGTAAAAGCTAACAAGATATCTTAAAAACTAATTTATTTGGTAATAATTAAATAATATTGCTTATAATTATCCACCTTCAGTACATAACATAAAAATTCAAGCCCGATTTTGGTTATCCGATACTTCAATCACTTTACAATATATCCAGAGCATGCATACCCCTGTTACATTAAAACAAATCAGATCACAAAATAATTTTATTTCAATTGTTACAAATTGATCAGTTTGTTTTTATTCAGTTTGTTGGTTATTTAATCAAGGTTTTCATATTTATTTTTAACTGTTTCCAAGTCACAAATTTAATACCATCACGATCAAAATACAAAACTACTCAATAAAATTCTTTTAATTTAAGATATTTAGTCAAGAAATAAGATTATAAATGAAAAAAAAAAAAGGAAACAGTAATAATAATGTATCATTCTTCAATATATTTTATATTAAACTTGTAACAAAATATTACAATAAAAACTGAGTTTTCTATTGTATATATATATATCTATATTTCTAACGTAGAGAATGGATCATATTGCTACTTAAACAACGGCAAAGAAAATTATTGTTTCCTAAAAATCCAAAATATTAAAATATATTTCAATTCTTCGGAAACAGTCTTTCCTGCTGTGTTTCACTGCAGGTAGTCTTATACGTTTTTACAATTCGTCAACATTTCGTTTCGAAAATACTTTTATCAACATCTGAGAATGAGTGACCACTTAGAATTAGACTCACTTTAAGAGCATACATAAACTCAGTTTAAATCAAGGTTATTAAATCAAACGAAAAAAGGTGTGATTGATGTAAATGATAATAAGAATAGCTAAATTGTATTAAAAAGTACTAAGTAACTATCGGATAATTAAACTATATAAAATTACCCAATAGTTATTTTATTATTAGAGTACATTGATAATATGAAGATTAGGAAGTCCATTATTTCGAAAGAAAAAAAAAGGTACTATTATTTTACATTTTTTGTTGATTTAAGAAAATGCATCATAAATAACAAAAATATTTAAAATAAAATTATGGTAAGAACAATATAGTAAAGAAAAAAAGTAAAACAGAGTCATAACTTCCACTATCTCAGATCATAACTATGAACACCAACTCTTTACCGATATCTGGTCAAAATTATTTTAAAACATACAAGTTTACAGTACTTGCTGACAAGGTCAACAAATATCTCTTCAAAATCCCTCTACTTTAATTTGTTTCCCCTGTGGATTAGTCAGAAAATTAATGGCAAAATTGAATATTTTTCACAACTTATAAAAAGTTGATTCAGTTTTAAAAGAAATATACAACTAATATCACAACCATTTAATCCATTTATGATCGATTGATTAATGAATATGTTTAATTGGATGGATCTGAGAATTTCATGTAAAATATTCCCTTTATAAGTAACGCATTTAACAGGGGATAAACATTATAATACAAATTTACAACAAGTAAATGTCAAAATTAATGCAGAAAAGCAGTATTTATTTCGAAACTGCTGATAATTCCAATCTTGATCAAGTGCGTAAGCCAGCAACACACCTACCTTAGGTTTTATTTCTTCATCACAGTCAAAATTTACAATGATTTTATGCTTCATCAGTAACATTGCTGAATGATTTTCAGCATGTCAAGTTAAACTTGTTCAACATAATAAAAAATAAACATTGTCGATTGACTTTCGTAATGACCAAAACAGATAATGAAGTGTTTTGAGGTATTTCCTTGCAGCTCTACCAGTAACTAACAACTAGGAACCTATCACCCTCACATTTTAAGAGAATGTTAGTATCTGATACGCAAAGGGTAATACAAGACTCGCTTCGAAGTGGTCTGACTATCTTTTGCCCTGTCGTAGAGTCCCAGACTGCCACACCTTTCTCATCGTGAATAACTAAGAACTTGTCCCATATCTTGCACATGTTCATCACGTTATGACTTACCGAAAAACTCATTTCATAATTTCCTCCTAATTTTCTAACTGTTACCTCATCTCTGAATAAATAGATCAAGACGTCATCTTCAGTCAATACAACGGGGACATGCTTACTGGCACAATATTCACCGAGTTTATAATGCGAATCTCGCATATAAACAAAAAGATGACTCATGTCATTGTAATGTTGGTCACGGGTTTCGCTGCAGAGTTTAGCGCAAACAATCTTCTGCGAGATATACAAATGAGAAGCTTTGCTTGGTACAACTACAGCTGGCCCTTCCCAAACATCTTTAGCATAATCGTATTGTGCAATATAACATGTTATTCCCATCTTATATCCCAGAAAGATCGAATCGCCATAAACTTCAAGACAGGTACAAAACAGGCTTTGATTACCTAAAGCTTTATGAAGGTCAATCTGTCTCCTGACAGAGCTGTCATTCATTTCAAGGAAGCAAAGCATACACGGATTTTGAGGATCTTGGATAATTATAAACTTATCGGAAATTCTTGTTGTAAATTGCGTCTTCATGCAATTATTCCTAGGTTGGTTACAGTTTCCACTTTCCAGAGCTACCTGGATTACCTTCCTAAACGAGTCCTTATCTTTTTTTAAACAGACAACATTTCTGCTCTGTGTGTAAACTAGATAATCATTTTTATAAATTATAGTGTCGATTTTTGATTCTGGTGAAACAAGGTCGACGGAACATAACCTCTTAATCCACCCATTAATGGTGTATATAACAATTTGGGGACCAACGTGTTCTACTACGTAATGTTCATTTATGTGAACAGGATTCAATGGAAGTCTGTAGATTACATAATATCCATCTTTCCAATTTTTCTGTACAAATCTGTACCTATTGAAATGAGATCTCCAATGACTCGGGATCAATTTTTCATCATTGTAGGAATAATGCTTCATAGGATTCTCTATCATGCTACAGCTGTCATCCAAATATTTCTTCTTAGATAATCCTTGTACTTCACAAATCTTCAACCATATCCTATTTGAGTTTACGATTTCATGCCATTTTGAACAAACCAAACTGCACTGCTTAAGATCCCTCGGACTCAGGTATAGAAATATAACTTCTTTCACTTCCAATGGTAACTGGTCAAAAGTAGCCATAGTTATATTCTGAAAATAAATAATATAATCAACTCATTTAAAAATTAAAATAAATTTCAACATAGATACTAACTATATATATTTGCTTCTACTGTATAAAAATATAATAGATCAATAAAAGGAAAGAAATAAAGAGAAATGCTAGAAAAGAACTTTATGCATCAACCTTTTTTAGAACCTTGAATTTTTATTAGAAAACAATATTCTGTAAGTCATTGATAAGTGATGGAGCAAGGATCAGGGGCTGGCATCTGGATAAACGATAAAACTAATGAGGGAATATTCATATCTCTAGGTTGATGTATGTCCGTCTTTCAAGCTGAGATTCTAGCTATCGACTTCTGTGCTCAATCAATTGTAAGAGAGGGCATTGTGAATAGATTGATAGTCAAGCGGCAATTGGAGCTCTGAATAGTTATGTATCTCGCTCAAAATTGATGGATGAATGTAAAGGCAATCTTAACCTTCTTTGTAGTACTAACGAGGTGAGGGTACCTGGGCACTCAGGCATTCCAGGAAATGAGAAAGCCAATTACCTTGCTAGGAAAGGCCCTACACAGGTGCCGATTGCAGCAGATCCTATTCGTGGGATAAGCCTTGGCTTTGCCAAAAGGCATATTAAGGCAATCGTGGGCAATAAATTTATATTACGCTGGGAACAGGCTAGGAAACAAACTCATTCCAAGTACCATTAGGCGGGTGACAGGACTGTATACTGGCCACAGTCAATTAAATAAGCCCCTTATTAATTTGGATGTACGTGATACCTCCACCTGCAGGCTGTGTGGCCTGGAGGATGAAAGGGCCTATCACATTATTTGTAGATGTGATAATTTGGCTAGAGACTACGATACTTTCACTTTGGGTGTGATCATATCACTGACCCTAAGCACTGCCAACTGATTGATCCTATTAGTATTAACAGGTTCGCAAAGGCATCCAGCTTGTTTTTATTGAGTCTAGAACGACGCACAATAGGCCTTATCGAGGCCGTGGTGCATTCTTATGTCGGCAAAAGCAAAAAGAAGTGATACATATAAATTTAAAGTGCTTCAAGAGAAAACATGAAGCAAATTTCATAAAAACTACTACAACTATTATGGCACTATGGTCTAATAGTCCATGGAGCAGACCCCTTTTTGTCGAATTATTAACATCCGCCTGAAACTTCATGAATAGCTTCATTGAGCCTTGTGGGACGCCTCTGGTCAGAGGTAGAGATTCTGATGGGGGGTTATTAGTAATTACAACGTACTGGGAGCGACCGATAAGGAAGGATTGGAACCAATTAAGGGAACTAGAAGAAAAAGAGATATTTTTAAGTTTGGTTAGGAGGATGTTGTGGTCTACTGAATCAAAAGCTTTGGAGAAGTCTAGGAGAACAAGGATGGTTAGTTTCTGCTCATCTATGGCTGTGTGAAGGTCTTGGGAAATTTTGATTAGGGCAGACTGAGTAGAATAACCAGGCCTAAAACTGGCCTGGTAGGGATTTAGGAGATTATTGTCCTCTAAAAAAATGGGATAACTGGAATTGGACTAACCGCTCTAAAGGTTTTGAGAGTTTTGAAAGGAGGGAAATCGGTCGGAAATCATTAAGAGCTGATGGGTTTGAGGTCTTCTTCAAGGGGCGTACTAGGGCGGTTTTCCAGGATGTAGGGAAGGTAGCATTTTGAAGAGAATAATTATATATATATATATATATATATATATATATATATATATATATATATATATATATATATATATATATATATATATATATGATAAAGGATTGGAAGAATTGTAGAAATAATTCTAGGAATATATAATTGGTAATTGGTTGACTGTCGTGGATAATGAAGAGAAGAATAGTTGGGGTGGTCAGTTGGTCAGTCAGTGGTCAGATGGTCAGTCAGATGAAGGTCTGAACTTCAGGTCGAAACGTCGGCATATGTAAAAAATAAATATTATCATTTATTTTTGCCTTCCTTTTTGACTGACCATCCCAACTATTCTTCTCCTCAATTCTAGGAATAAGAAGTGTGGTGTCTTCGTTATGGTCCGTCACACTTTGTATGTAAAATAAAATATGACACGGTCTGTAAAAAGTTTTTTTATATTATAGATTTGAATATCTAGGATTGTCCAATATAAGCAGAAGACATTTTTCATCCGTTAACTTCATAGCAAAATGTTTACACAAGTGATTAACATTGGCTGAATGATGTCCATCAGCTTGCTCCATTCCCCTTCGAGTTTGGACAAGAACTGAGAGCCATTGGAGCGCTCTAGAATATTCTTCAACTGCTACATGCTTAGAGCTGAACGTATCCACTTGAGACTGACTTGGAGCGCAGTTGGTTCGTGAACATAGTGGATACCCAGCTTAAGGCAGCAGGGTAGAAAATAAATATATGTTTTATTATAGAGCAGAATTACTCATTATATTCTCCTTGTTTTGTTTTTTTTAAACATTAATAAATTTTAATAAACCAAAAAATAATTAAAATTATAAGGATTTTAAACTAAAAACCTGTATGCAAATTCTTTGAAATTTAATTTAAAATTATATTATTAAAAATAAATTATTTGTAATGATTACTTTATCGGAAGGTTTCTCCTCCAATTCATGTTCAGACATTACCATTGGATAAGAGGAAAGGTTGGGATTTGAAATGCTAAAATGGTCATTCTGCACCATCCTACTTCTGTAAAATTCTGAAAACACACATTAATCATTAATAAAACAAAAAAGAAATGAATGCAGTTTGAAAAATATGAAATCATAAAATATTAATAATCAAATAAATTAATTTTCATTCCATTACATACCAAGGTTAAAAAAAAAAAACTTGAGTGATTGTTGGAATTTAATTGAAGTATTTCGCATTAAAACTTCGATACAACCTACCAAGAAACAATGCAGTGGCTCCTAGCAGGATGCTTATATAGTACCAACAGCATTTAAATAAAACAGTCTCAAAGGGTGACGAAATGTTTTCACTTGTCAACAGTGGGGGACATTGATGGAGGAACATATGGACATCTTGTCTTGGCACACACAAGAAGGCAAAACAATCATAGCGGTTTGTACTTAAGAAGATCAAATCATTACTGGGCAGCCATGTCATTGAAAGCACCAATTCAAAATTAAAAAAGAATTAATTAGATAAATATGATAAATTCTCTTCCTGATTGAACCTTTATTTTTTTTTTCAGTTATTATTTCAAGAATGGTAAATTGTGAAATAATATTTACATAAAACTAAAAGGATCTGGAAGACAGAAATAATAGAGCAATGTGCAGGAATTACTCGTAGGACTCCTTTTCTATAGAGAAAATAGGGCATATATCAACCTGATAAGGTAGGATCGAAAACAGAAATGGTTTTTAATTTCAATAATAAGCTAATTTTTTTTAAATTTTATTTTCCATTAAATTTGCCACTGCATTGTAACGCAACAAGCAAATATGTTGGCGTTTATTCTGTCTTCTTCTATTCTTGATATTTTCTTAACTTGCCAGAAGATCTCTTGGCCAGCGCCTTTTTAGTCGTCGTTGAGGCTCATCAGATAACAGGGACGAATATAGAGATAGAACGAGTGGATTTGGATGATTGAGAGTAGAAGAATGAAAAGTTGTGTTCTTGTTGTGTAGCAAGGATTTTACTTTTGGTATGATCATGTCTGTATGTATGGTGCGATTTGAAATAAACCAAGGACCATTGACGATTTTACGAAGTTATTATTCAAATTATTATTTAAAACACACAGAAATAAATTTAAGAAATCAATAATTTATACAAAAGATAAATTAAAATTTGTAACACATCCTTGACAAAAAAATGTAAGTAATCATTAAATTTAAAACCAACAAAAAGGTTGATAAAACCAATTTTTTTTAACACTTGATATAATTTTCAGTTTTGTTTTCTCATTTGTAAAATAAGTAAAACAAAATTGTGAACAAAAAATGTACTTTTTTGTCATTATAATGGCCTGTAATCAAATTACTATAAGTTTCACAAACCATTACAATGACAGCTGATTTTGATTTGTCTAAAAACGGAAAATTTTGACTTTTTATTGTTATGAACCCTTCGATTGTTGGCTTTCTGTTTGGATGAGAATATAACATAACGATAAACATTCTCTTACTTCTAAGAGAAATTTTTAATGTAAAAATGTTTGTTACCTGCCATTTTTTCATCACAAATCCGCAACTCACTCAGATCTAATTTGAGTTGTAAAGTAATCAATGTTTCAGAAAAATTTAAAATGACCTTTAGAAAATTTATAAATTAGAAGGGAAGAGGTAAAATATGAAGCATCTACTTCAAAAGGAATAACTCCAAACAGCAAAATTTTGAAAGAAAAAAACAAAACCATTAGCCAACGAGAGAATAAATTTCTGACAAATCTGTTTGCTTCCTTTATAGCTTTGAGTTTTATGCAATAAATTAACTTTTTAGGAAATATATTTTAGCCATATAATAAACATTTTTCAAAAATGGGTATAAAAAATGAAGTGATCTCTTTCTTGTAGTAGACGCCTCATGTATAACAACACATTATTAGATTTAAAAAGTTATAAACCAACATTAAAAATGAATAAGAAAATATACTAAGCATTTACATACATTCATAGAAATTATATAACACGGAGGATAATTTGTGCTGTACTACAGACTCCTACAAACAGTTTATTTCTAGAACAGGATATATTGACTTTTTCTAGTTATTAAAATTATTAACTTACCTGAAAGATCTAATATTTAGTATTTTAAAAAAAATGATGTTCATTAAAAGTCTAGTTCATAACATAACAGAGTAAAGTAATAATTAGTCCGTGGTACAGACCCCTTTTTATCGAATTATTATCATTGACATGAAACTTCGTAAATAGTTTCATCTCATCGTAACCTACAACTATTTAATTTACAAAAACTCTTGGAATTGGGGCGTTTTCAATCTGGAGGGGAGCAATCTTTGTTTACTTAATTATGTACTAAAATACACATTTGCTATAAATACACTTGGATCGTAAGATAATTTGATCATAAAATCGATAAAAAAGATGGCCTACAAAAATATTGGGCCGTTTGTCCTATATAACATCGTTATTTTGAAAAATGACGAGGTTATATAGGCCAAACGGCTCAATATTTTTGAAGGCCACCATTTTTCTCGATTTTGTGATCAAATTACTTTATGATCCAAGTAGAAAGCAAATGTGTATTTACGCATTTTCAGTACCTAATTAAATAGACAAAGTTTGTCCCCCTCCAGATTGAAAACGCCCTAATTCCAAGATTTTTCGTAAATAAAATAGTTGTAGGTTACGATAAAAAGGAGTCTTTACCACGGACTAAATTACCATCTCTAGTAAAACATAAATATGAATCAAGAGAGGACAATAATCTCCTAAATCCGTACCAGGCCGGTTTCAGGCCTGGTTATTCTACTCAGTCTGCCCTAATCAAAATTTCCCAAGACCTTCACACAGCCATAGATGAGCAGAAACTAACCATCCTTGTTCTCCTAGACTTCTCCAAAGCTTTTGATTCAGTAGACCACAACATCCTCCTAACCAAACTTAAAAATATCTCTTTTTCTTCTAGTTCCCTTAATTGGTTCCAATCCTTCCTTACCGGTCGTTCCCAGTATGTTGTAATTACTAATAACCCCCCATCAGAATCTCTACCTCTGACCAGAGGCGTCCCACAAGGCTCTTCCTTATCTCCCACCCTTTTCTCCATCTATATAAATGACCTCCCATCCTCTATCCTGCACTGTCAACGCCTGATTAAATAGACAAAGTTTGCCGATCTCCAGATTGAAAACGCCCCAATTCCGAGAATTTTTGCAAATAAAATAGTTGTAGATTACGATGAGATGAAGCTATTCATGAAGTTTCAGGCGGATGTTAATAATTCGACAAAAAGGGGTCTGTACCACAGACTAAATTACCATCTATAGTAAAACATAAATATGAATCAATAAATAGGGAATGAATTTTTATGATATTGAGTTTAAAGATAGGAACATTGCTTTTATTTTTGAATAATCTGGTTGGGAGATGTAATAAATAAAGCCAAAAATTAGTGAAACTCACTAATTTCTCACAAAAATAAAGCATTTTAAGATGGTTTGTCTAATCACAGTTATGGTAGATTTAGTCTACATTAATTTTAATATTTGTTCAACTAGTGTTTTCTTATCATTCTTGAATTTTATTATTGTCACAAATTATTTTCCAACTAGGTACTAGGTAAATTTCAAAATCTTATCATACACCAAACTAGACAGAAACAATATTTCAGATTTATAAACATTCCAGAGGAAACTTTTAATTTAGAACAGTAATAAAAATATATCTTTTGATTTTACATCGGATTAAAAGTGACCCAATAATCAAACATTTGAAATTTGTTGACAAAGGACAAACAAAGAGCTAAAACACATGCTGCATAAAATCAATCATGATTGCTAAGCTAACATTAGGCAGGCTTCGGTTAACAGACAAACCACCACCAAATATCAAGAAAGAAGATGATTTATTCGTCATGCTTTAGTAATATTCGCAAATGTTGTAAATCCTGGAAAGGAATATTAAGAAAAAAAAGCATAAAGCAACAGAAATTACCAAGGTCTTTACATTTCATAAATAAATTATGATTGTTTTATTGTTTACTGATTGTATATAAACATTTTTTTTTTTTATTTGCAGACGAAAATGCTCCAGTTTTCACAATGACACCAAATTTATATTTAGCATTGCTTTTATATTTGGGCTATTTCCTGTACAAAACATTTTTAAAACAAACATTCTTCTCATAAAAACTAAACTTTTCTCTATATCATATGTTTATGCATTCTTTATGCTCGCTGGATTTTTGATAATAACGATTTATGGAGTGGAACATGCTATCTACAATACAACATTTCAGATCGGTAATGTGAATACTAATTTTAGAGTACACAGAAAGCCAATAATACCTAATTTCAAATAATAAAACATCTTCATTAAGAATGTTTTGTAAAAATAGACAGATATAAGGTAATTTTTATAAAAATATACAAATTATTTCCTGAATTAATATAATTTGATGGTGAACGTCATATTTCAGTTTTTGGTGTGGTGGCAATCGTGACAGTTTCCTTCAATTGATTTATTAGGTCATCTAATAATCTTTTTACAACGTTCATATAGTAAATCTAAACGTCTTGTAGTATAAAATTAATAGGTTATATATAATACAAGCTCATTTCTGATTATTTTGATATTTTATAATTACAAACACACCCCAAATGAATTCATATTTACTTGTTATAAGGTTGATATATTCAATAAAAATATAGCTATTTTCAACAATATAAGTTATTTCTCAGAAATGAGGGAAGTATAACAATCAATTTGATTCCAAATATCAAGAAGTTTTGAAGCCAATATAATAATATAAATTCATAAATTAACCTTAAGATATATGTTAGAAAAATACTGAATTATAAATAAATGCAAATTCATTTAATATGAGGTACTAGTTTTTTTCTTTAACATTGAAACAGGTATTATGGAAGAAGAGAGTAAACAAATTATAAACTGATATTATTAATATACTTGAATAATGAATTATTGAAAGTTTCATGTAATCAGATTTATTAATAAACAATAGCGATAAGAATATAATAACTCTAGCGAACCTTAGTTAAATTAATTTTGAAAAATGACCATATTGTAATAATGATTTAAGCATTGATATGGAGTTTCATTAATATTAAGAATATATATCATTATAAAGCTGAAATGATTTATTACAGCGATTGAGATGATTAGTTTCAAAACTGGCTCAATCTATTATCAACATTACCCAGAAAAACAAAAACATATGTTTGAACCCTATTTGACCTAAGGTGATTGGGTATATTTTAAACCTACTTTACTTTATGTAGTTTTATTGGGTGATTTAGTAATGACAATTAAATAAAATCAGTTTACAAAAACAGTAGATTGAGGCAGTTTTGAAACTAATTGCCTTTAAGAATCACAGTATGATTAACAAGAATGTACACCATTTTTTAACAGGTGAAATTAAACAATCAACAGCACCTTTCTTATTTTATGGATGTTGTACAACAGCTAGCTACTGTTTTATAGATATTGCCAAGAAATGGCCACACATCATAAGAAAATGGTCAAAGATAGAGAATGAAGTTAGCTATATTCAACCTCCATCTACAAACAAGGGTCTCGCAGGTTTAATTATGACACTAGGCTTAGGTCAGTATGTATTTGAAGGGTAGAAGTAATATTTAAGGACTTATGGTATCAATAAATAGTATATTTGGTAAAATAAATTAAACATGTAATGTCAAATACTTAAAATATGTTACCAAATTATGAAGTGAAAAGAATGACAATTTTATCAAAATTTGGTCAAATAAAAGGTTATTTGTAACTATATGAATCATGAAAATATTTCTCTAGTGACTGACTTATTTCTAAATGAGTACATATGTACATACAGTGAAGCAACCATATTAATCGTTTTAAAAGAAAAAAATAAAATAAAAGTATTCACCTATTTAAATTTTTTGGTACTACTGACATATGAATTAAAATTTTCACGTACAAATTATTTCTCCCTTTGTAAGATCAATTGATCAACAGAAAATATTTGAAAGACATATTTATCACAGACTCTTATAACAGCTTTGTTAACTCACTAAACATAAATATCTGAAACAATGCAGCCATTATCCGTATTAACTCAAATATATAATTGTAAATAATGTTAAGATGAAAATTTATACTTACATTATTCTAATCTTAGTTTTTTTATTAAATTAAATAAAATAATTATTTACTGTTTGAAAAATACTTAAATCTGATATGTTAATGTACTCATCAAAACCGTTTATATTTTGTCGCCTAACAATTAATGTTATAGAAGTACTATTTCACCAGTGATCCGATAATTGAAGTTAATCTATTTTTAAAGATTACGTATAAAATGTCTTTTATTAAATAATTAACAAATACGAAGAAAAACGGTCATAATCGGGTAAGGTTATAAATTTAATTATCAATAATAAAGTGTAATTTTATTTTAAGAATATGTCAAAAAGTGGATAAACGGTTATATCAAATTTCACAGGACAGCGTGAGGAGATTTTAGTTGAATCGCTAAATTGTGCATATAAAAATTTTCTTTTGATGTATTAAAAATACCAAATAATCAAATACTTACTTATTGCGTAAAACCTTTGTATGAGCGCAATTAATATTGAAAACATAGTTAACTCTCTTAGTATAAATATGATTTTACCACTTGGTTGGTAGTTGTAAAGTTTGTCAGAAAGTTGTTGTTTTCAGAATCTAAAACATAGTAATTTACAAAATATTATCAATTTTTCAATGAAATTTTGTTTTAAAAATAATCAATAAAAGCGATCGTTATCACCTGAACAAGTTTGCTTTTCGATTTTAAACTGAGCTTGGTGTTTATTCTAGTTTTCAATGGGATATAAGCATGTTCCATTGCTATTTTACTGCTTGAAAATCGAATTATTTTATTACATAAGTCTATAATTCATTATATTATTTCTGGTTAGGTGAATCAAATGTCATTTCTAAAAAAAAATTAGACATAAATATTACCTCTAACTCTATATCCTCACTTTATTCCAAAAGCTGATTCCGCAAAAACACTTTGTTTATAAACTTTAATATATTACAACTGGGATCAAACCTTTGTTATTGGAGAAGTAATACGTTCTGAGAACGAATTAAATGTAAAATTTTTAACGCATTTGTTGTTAAAAGTATTCATTGTTTTAAAAAAATGTGTAAATGTCCATGTAATTTCTTAAGTGATTATAAAAATAATTTGTATGAAAATTGTAAAAAAAATTAAACTAACATTCTTTGTCATTTTTAATTATTGATTTAGTTTAATCAAATTATCTGTATTAATCAATAGATTAGGTGCTAATACCTAATTAGCTCAAGTTTAATCACTTGATTTGAAGAAAAATAAAAGATTAAGGAAGTATAAGACAGATAAAATAAATCTTTATATAAACAAAAGTAAAATCGAATTTCCTAACATCTCTTCCACCAGAGATAGGTATTTCAGTGAGAGGGGAGATTAAAAGCACCTGGGAGATTCCCTCCGCCAAAAAAAAAAAAAAAAAAATAGCAAAGAAATACTTATAAGGACTAACGGATTCAGGATTTTGGAAGGGCCTTCAGCCCGAAAGCTTTTTTTTTTTTTCATATATATACAACGATAATTAATTTGGAAAAAAAAGAAATTAACTACCTGTATGAAATGGTGTTGAAGTGATTCCTGAAGTCTTATTTAAATGTAATTACACGAACAAGAATACTATAAGAGATAGTTTTTAATATCTTTTTCGATAAAACATGGTTATATTTTACCATTTGGGGAGGGGGGGGGGGGAGAGCTTCAAAGCATGCGTTGCCCAGAGCAACCTGTGATAAACCGATGTTTACGACATCGTGGTGCAGGAGGTACTTTTAACTCTTTATTTAAATTTATTTTATTAAAGCCAGTTTACACATTTCAAAAACATCAGAAACACAAACAGACGAAAACAGAGAATAAAAGAAACAGAGTATTTACACGTTTCTGTATTTTCAGAGAAAGTTGCGGATCTTATAACTTTCATTTGCCCTTAACTTATTGTAGTTTTAAAAAGTAGCAAACGAAATTGAAAGGTCAAAAGCGTGAACAATGGCAATGGTTGATGAAAATGATCTGTCGTTTTTAAACAGACGATCTTGTGGGTTCAAAACTCCAAAAAGTAAGTTTGAAACAGACCCAGGCATTTATGCTCCATATAATGACTAGCTGAGACCGGAGATGGACAAATGATAGTCTGAGTTCTGAGTACCAAGTATTTTACTGTCCCAGAGCACGTCTGAATCTATATACTTCCTTATGGTTCGGTCAAATATAATTTCGAGTACTTTTCGAGAAAATTCGAATCAGATGTTCTGTCTAAACTAACCTTCCAAGCTTTATGAAGTAGACAAAAATAAAATCTATATAAATAAAATAAAGGCATTGTCTGTACATTGAATAGAATCAACCCGTTTCATGATATCTTTCCTTTTCATACATTATAGACACTAAATCCACTTTTAAAAAGCAATTTCTGTCTGTGTGTCCGCATTGTTTAGCGAAATTTTGGCAGGGGTAAGCTCAGCAATGGCTAATGGTAGACTATTTTAATTTAAATTTTAACATTATATTAAGGTTTTTTTGACTTAAAACATAGGCTTTGAATGAAAACAAAATATTGAGTAGAACCAAAGTTATGAGTTCTTGAGTAATTATCCCGGTTAGACAATTACTTACTTCGATTCTCATCCCAATCTACTCTACCTCGAGTCATATTTAAAAGTTGTACTATTCAACTGATCAGTTATAATAACAAAACTATATATTTTTTAAAATTATAACAGAATACGCATATAACCCAGTATTACACTAAGTTGAAGTGGCTCTATCCATCCAACCGCCGTTTGTACTTCCTTGCCACTTTTCTATACCAAGTCATCAGAACTCAGCGGCCTTCCTATATTTTTCACAACCTACAATTCAAATATTCCATTCAATCCCGTCTCACTAGATCTCGTACCTCTGATCTCTATCCACCTCCCCACCGAACTGCAGCGTTTGACAAATCCTTTATAATTCAAGCCGTCTCCATCTGGAATACCATCCCTCCCGATATCCGACATGTACAATCAGTTTCCTCATTTAAATCTCTCCTTTTTAAGCACCTACTCCTTTCCCAACCCGATTGATCATGAAATGTAGATAAGAGAACTTTTAAAGTTCCCCCAGAAATTATTTTCTTTACTTATGCTATTTTATTTTATTATATAGTTTGTATTATACATATCAGAATGTTTTTAAAGTAATAGTTATATTTTTTGTTTTATTATTTTTTCAAAATCTTATAGTATGGCCACACAGGCATTTATTCTGTATCTGTAATTTGACCTAAAGGGACAACAGTCCCAGGATAATAAAAAAATATTTTCATTTTTATTTCATTTTTCATAATAAAAAAAATCTTTTTTTTAACCCCAATAATATAATACTTGAAACAATTTATTTTACAACTATGTACCCGTCGTTGACGAGTGTACAGTTAAAATTTGAGAATTTTTTTTTAGATGGATTTTGTACTATGGGGGGAAGGGATCCAAATTTAATTTCATAAATTGGATTAGAGGTGGTGTTTTGAATTTTTTTATGGGGGGCTTATGGAAGTCAAAGTTTCGCAATAGTCATAATAAAAACTTGGTTATTCTGCTGTTTGTTTAGGTGCCACACAAATAAACCGACCACCACCGATCCATTAAAATTTTTTATATGTTTAATTTTCATTTATGATGAAGCGATGAGATTGTGGAATCGATTGAAATACTTTTCCGAGAAAATTCGAATCAGGTGTTCTGTCAAAACAAACCTTCCAAGCTTTATGAAGTAGACACAAATGTCAAATCTATATAAATAAAATAAATGTTTTCTCTGTGCATTGAATAGAATCAACCCATTTCATACATTAGAGAGACCAAATCCACTTTTAAAAAACAATGTCTGTCTGTATGTCCGCATTGTCCAACGAAATTTTGGCAGGGGTAAACACAATCGAGTTGTAGTCTCTCCACTTTATTAAACTCTGCTAAGTGTATCGCTGGCAAAATAACATTGGTCATTGAATCACCTACATCCATGTAAAATTAGAACTTATCTAAATATTGTAGGGGGCGGGGTGAAATTTTTGGGATTTTTTTTCCGATTTCCGACTAATCCGTTTGCTTAATCCTAAAAATGTATACGACATTTGTTAGGATCAGAAATGAATTGAATGCCATCTTGAACGGAAATATCGGGCATAGTTAAAAAATGAGTGTGTTTTAAGCGACAACAAACTAAACAAACAAAACTATATATTTTTTAAAATTATAACATAATAAAAAAAAATTCTTTTTTTTAACCCCAATAATATAATACTTGAAACAATGTATTTTACAACTAGCTGATGTACCCGTCGTTGACGAGTGTATAGTTAAATTTTGAGAATCTTTTTTTGAGATGGATTTTGTACTATGGGGGGAAGGGATCCAAATTTAATTTCATAAATTGGATTAGAGGGGGTGTTTTGAATTTTTTTTATGGGGGGTTTATGGAAGTCAAAGTTTCGCAATAGTCATAATAAAAACTTAGTTATTCTGCTGTTTGTTTAGGTGCCACACAAATAAACCGACCACCACCGATCCATTAAAATTTGTTATGTGTTTAATTTTCATTTATGATGAAGCGAGAAGATTGTGGAGTCGATTGAAATAATCAAAAAGAGTTGTAGTCTCTCCACTTCTTTAAACTCTGCTAAGTTTATCGCTGGCAAAATAACATTGGACTTTGAGTCACCTACATCCGTGTAAAATTAGAACTTGATCTAAATATTGTAGCGGGCGGGATGATTTTTTTTTTTTTTTGTCGATTTCCTGCTAATCCGTTTGGTTAATCCTAAAAACGATGAGACGATGAGAACCGAAGAATGAGTACCGAGTATTTTACTGTCCCAGAGCCCATCTGAATTATGACTGAAACTTATAAAACTTGTTAACATTTTCATTAAAAAGTTAGAAGAAAGAAAAAAATATATTGCGGTGTGCGCATCATAAAAATTTCACTTACAACCCTTCTTTTAGGAGAATAGTTATTTTCAGACAAAGAGAAGATAAAGTAAAAATCACGGTAAAAATATTTTTTGAAACAATAAATTACCATATATTTTTTACAGCCGTCTAATGTATTATATTCATCTTTTTTTTTTCGCTAAGCATTGCCTTTAACGATTGTATATTTTAATTATTTATTTGACTATAATAAATAATCAAGTGCCGCGAAATATTTTTAGTCTGACATGAATGCCACTGATAATGAAGGCCCCTAAATTTATTTATTTCATTGTAGGTATTTTTATTTGTTTAAGCATTGATTATTAAATATAAATTACAATTTTTATATTGTTGTATTTATATACAGAGGCATCTCTCTCCTTCCCACCGCATACAAGATTCTTTCCATCATACTTTTCAATAGACTGCTTCCATTTGACGAACAAGAGCTCGGAAAGTATCAATCTGGAATCCGAAAAGGAAAATCTACGACAGATCAAATGTTTACTCTGCGAATACTGTTGGAGAAAACAAGGGAATACCAGATTCATACTAACCACCTGTTCATTGATTTCCAACAAGCCTACGATTCCGTGAACAGAGTAGAAGCATATAAGGCAATGGTGGATATGAGCATCCCTACCAAACTGGTTCATCTGGTGAAAATGACGATGGAGGACAACGTATGCTTTGTCAGAGTGGGCGGAATGCTTCAAGAGGATTCACAACGAGGACAGGTGTGAGGCAGGGTGATGACCTGGCCTGTTTAGTGTTTAACTTTTCCCTTGAGAAAGCTATTAAGGATTCTGGAATCCAAGTGACAGGAACACTTCTCAACAAGACAGTCCCGATTTTAGGATTTGCGGATGACTTGGATCTTGCGGGAAGGACTATAAGCGCCATAAGAGAAGCTTTTAAAGCATTAGAGGAGTCTGCAGCAAGACTGGACCTAATGGTGAATGTTGAAAAAACGAAATATATGTGCACCCTACCTACCCACAAGAATGGTGGGAGTCATGTCTAGATAGGTCGCCATATATTTGAAAGAGTGGAATCACTCATATACCTAGGATCCCAGATCAACCGTAATAACTACATTGAAGAAGACATCCAAAGACGGATCCTCTCCACAAACCGCACCTATTTCTCCCTTCATAAACTCTTGAGAAGTAGTGTGTTGTCGAAGGCCTCGAAAGTGAGAATTCATAAGACAATTATACCACCAGTTCTTACATATGGCTCAGAATGTTTGACTACAACTAGAGCCCTTGAGCATCTCCTTCTCCGTTTTGAAATAAAAGTGCTTCGCCGTATATACGGTGCTATATATGAGGGAGGTGCATGGAGAAGAAGAACGAATGCTGAGTTAAGAGCGAGGTACAAAGAAATAGACGTATCAGCATTCGTAAAGTTAACAAGACGTCGCTGGGCTGGTCACTTCATAAGAATGGATCCAAACGAAGTTCCTTACAAGATCTTAGCTGGGCAAATGTGTGGTACCAGGCGGGTTGGACGCCCCAGACTTCGCTGGGAAGACTGCGAGGTTGCAGATGCGAGATCTCTGCTCGGTGTTATGAACTGGAAGGCAGCAGCACGGATCAGGCAGGACTGGCTGTCTAAGCTTGAGCAGGCTATGACTTAACTAGTGGGCCGTAACGCCGAATAAGAAGAAGATATTGCTGTAATATATACAATTAAATATTAAATAATATTAACGCAAGTATTTATGAAAACCGTATATGCTTATGTACAGAAGCCTGTTCTTACCTTCGACAAAACTCGTTGGTTCTCTATTAAGAACGAATTATATTAGGTTATTTCTCCTTTAGATAATTATCGAATTATTTTATATTTAAATATTTTTTATATCATGTTCCAATATGAAATGATCAATTGTTTTAAATAAAAAAAGATTAGAATTCATTCAGGGTTCAGAGGAAGAAATTTAGAAAATTAGGCATTTAAGCCCTGATAGAGAACATAAATGATAATAAGATCAACATTATATTAAACAAATGTTTAATTGTACTCTGATGTAATGAATTTAATAGAAATCGTTAAAGCCGTATTCGAGGAAATCGTAAAAATATCTAAAATCGAAGATATAAAGTGGCACTTTTGGTTAACCGATTTTAACGAAAATGTTGCTGTAACATTCAAGCCATATACACACCTTAATACGCAATTCTGTGGCTCTAGTGCCCTCCTTCAGCCTACACTGGCTTTTAATACTAGTGATGCGGCTGGAAAAGTGGCACTGGGATCTCTGGAGTCCTGCTTTGCTTTCCACATGTGGGGAGAAAAGCCTGGCTCGGAGATTCCTGGCCGAATGTATATATTGTATATAGGTATGAATGTGTTTAGAAGTTTTAATTTTATTTTTTTTATTTTTTTTTTCTATTGGTTTACATTTTTTTATAAGTATTATTTATTTACTTTTTATATTTATAGTTACTTCTGTATTACTTGTATATACTGTATGAATGAGAACGTCTAGCCTCAATACTTATAGCCCTCCAACAGTGGCTGATTGTATTATTATTCAATAAAAAAAAAAAAAAAAAAAAAAAAAAAACGCAATTTTAGTTCCGTTTGACTTTTCGTTTTTGAGTTGGTCTGTTCATAGACACATACAGACTGTTTTGCTGTACTGGGTTATTTGGACATAGGAGACCTCAATACATGTATTTCCGTTGAATACTCAAATTCGAAAATTTTCACGATCGCAATATTTTTTACCCCTACTATATATTACATATATATGAAAGTAAAAAATACATATTACTTAGTTATAAACCAATTTTTCTCCAGTGAAGTGGTTTTCCTTATAAGACAGTTTAATTTTGTTTGCCTGTAAATATATATTTTTGTGGAAAAAATATCGATTAAAAAAATATTTTAAGTCTAATATTGATATATAAAATTTATCGAAATAAAAATATAGAGACATAAAATCGACATATATACATTTTTTAATGAAAATGTGGATATTTCGATATATTGATATTTTTACAATTTCTTTATTGCATAATAGATAAATTGAAAATCATCAGACATTTGTATTCATATTTTTGGCCAATTTTAATTGTAGTCATTTAATAATCTATTCACTTTACGGTTGTAGTTGAACATCTCTTTCATAATTGGGTCAACACCAAGGATGGGAACTTGCAGGAAAAGGTAAACTCATAAATTGCTTACTAATAATATTCTTACTTTTGGGCACTAACGGATCCAGGATTTGATTTGGAGAGGGCTTCAGCCCGAAAGATTTTTTTTTATGTATATATTAGGATAATTTCTTCGGAAGAGAGAAATTAACTGAGTACCTAAATGAAATGGTGTTTAAGTGATTCTTTATGTTCTATGTAATGTAAATGTAATGAGACGAATAATAATACTTTTAGAGATAATTTTTTTAATAAAACATGGTTATATTATACCATTTTGGGGAAGCTTCATTCCGAAATCCCCACCGTAGATAAACCTGTGCTGTCAGGTATTTGGTATATTGCAAGGGAATCTGTATTTCTGTTGGAGTAGGGGGGGGTGGTGGTATCTCAGTTCTAAATGGTCGAACTCTAGGGGAGGAGGAGAGAGGTTGATTCTAGAAAAAAAATTCTACAAAAAAAGTCTATTTAGTGCATGAACCGATTCCGAACGGATAATGAGTTAAGACCAATTTTTGTGTTATTTTAAGTTAGTCACGTTTTTTATTTAACAAGAAGGAGTTTGTTCAAAAACTGTTCGAGATAATTGAATCCTAAGTACACTATCGTAAAGTAGACACATTTTCTTTGTGAAGCAGTTATTTCATTTACTAAAGCCAAATTTCCATTTTTTAAAGGAAATAACACCGTTTTTTCAACAATAAGTTACTCATTTATTAAACCATTTGTGTACTGAATTTTAGCCCGTGGTACAGACCATTTTTATCGAATTATTAAAATCCGTCTGAAACTTCGTAAATAGCTTCATCTCATCGTAACCTACAAATATTTTATTTACGAAAACACTTGGTATTGGGGCGTTTTTAACCAGGAGTTCGGCAAACTATATCTATTTAATTAGGTACTAAAAACTCGTAAATAGCCATTTGGTTTCCATTTGGATCGTAAAATAATTTTATCAAGAAATAAAAAAAAAAGGTGTCCTACAAAAATATTGGTCTGCGTGACCTATATAACCTCGTTATTTTGAAAATTTGGGGGTGTAGGTCACACCAAACGGATCAATATTTTTGAAGGCCATATTTTTTCTCGATTTTGTTCTCAAATTATCTTACAGTTAAAGTGGAAAGCAGATGTGTATTTACAAGTTTTTAGTATCTAATTAAATAGACAAAGTTTGCCCCCTTCCAGATTGAAAACGCCCCAATTCAAAGAGTTTTCCTAAATATTATAGTTGTAGGTTACGATGAGATGAAACTATTTATGAAGTTTTAGCCGGATGTTAATAATTCGATAAAAAAGGATCTGTACCACGGACTAAATTACCACCTCTAGTAAAACATAAATATGTATCAATAAATTATTAACATCCGCCTGAAACTTCGTGAATAGCTTCATCTCATCGTAACCTACAACTATTTTATTTACGAAAACTCTTGGAATTGTTTTTTTTTTTTTCAATCTGGAGGGGAGCGAACTTTGTCTATTTAATCAGTTGCTAAAAACTCGTAAATAGCCATTTGGTTTTCATTGGGATCGTAAAATAATTTTATCACGAAATAAAAAAAAAGCTGGCCTACAAAAATATTAGTCTGTGTGACCTATATAATTTCGTTATTTTAATTAACACATGCCATAAGGCCACCTTTTTTCTCGATTTTGTTCTCAAATTATCTTACAGTTAAAGTGGAAAGCAGATGTTTATTTACAAGTTTTTAGTATCTAATTAAATAGACAAAGTTTGCCCCCCTCCAGCTTGAAAACGCCCCAATTCAAAGAGTTTTCCTAAATATTATAGTTGTAGGTTACGATGAGATGAAACTATTTATGAAGTTTCAGGCGATGTTAATAATTCGATAAAAAGGGATCTGTACCACGGACTAAAATTCAGTACACAGATGGTTTAATAAATGGATTAACTTATTGTTGAAAAAACGGTGTCATTTCCTTAAAAAAATGGAAAGTTCAAAATGAAAAAAAAGTTTGAAAACATGATATATATGCAAATTTAAATGAAACATAATTGCCCTTTAAACAAATTTATTGTAGTTTTGACCTTGTTTATTGAAAATGGCGGCAAGAAATGAGACAGAAGAACTTTTTATAGGTCATTATTTTATTGATTGTTTTCTATATCATAGGATAGAATTACAATGTCTTTGAAAAATATGATTACTAAAAATCTGTAAAATTACTAACAATTAGCAATAAAAAGAGTATTAAATTACTTACTTAACATGAAAAAATTGAAATTTAATAATTATTATTACAATAAAAAGGGCATATCTCTGTAATCCCCATTCGTACAGAGCAGTACATCCGTCGTATTAGACCAACTGAAAGTCCCTTTTATCATTGACTTTAGTAAATATCATCATTGCTTTTTTGAAAAAAAATTGTCTACTTTACAATGTAAAGTAGATAGGATGGTAATATAGGTAATATGGTAATATGGTAATATAGGATTTAATTATCATGAAGAGGACAAAATTGATTTTGTAAAATGAACTATTTTGTTGGAAATTTTGTCTAGAACCATTCTCCAGAGTTTGTTCATAAAGAACTGAGACAATCTGTTTAATATAAAATAATCACCAAAATAAAAATTTTCTTTTTCTTTAAGAATTTCATTATGGATCCGTCAATGGTCGATATAGTGATCTATTTCTGATTAATTAGTGATCAAGTAACTTTTTTTTAATTATAGTTTTTTTTCTCAGAGTCCTATTGGTTGCTACCTCAAGACCTTCTGCTTCAAAACCCATAGCTTTCTTGTGGACGAGGATAGTTACAGGCATTGGAAAGGAGTGTTGATCGTCATGTTCAGCTTCCATGGCACTCTATTATGGACATTCATCGATGTCTTTATTATTCTAGTAACAAGTGGATTGAAAGGACAAATCCACTCATGGAACAAATTTGCTTATAAACATGTCAAGGTTTGTCTGTATCATTAATATTTTTTTTATTTTTTTTTTTTAATGAAATTTACAACTGTATTACATGGAAAATACAACAAGTAAATGTGACATTGGTAACATGAAGGGAAACTACCCATTGGTGGAACTAAAATTAAAGTTCTATATTAGAGGGTCCCGAGGCCATCTTCTTTTAAGACGCCTCGGAGGGTTATCAGGGATCGAGGAGGAAGCAAGGTTTGAAATTATGGAAGGATAGGTATCTGGATTGGGCCAAATCGGAAACATATGGAACATTAAGGTCTTTATGGATGATTTTATTTGTGACAAAGTAAGGAGCGTTGAGGATTTTACGAAGGATTTTGGATTGTAAGGATTGGATACGAGAGGAATTCGATGGTTTAGTGGAGCCCCAAAACTCAATTCCTTAATTCCAAATAGGTCTTATTATCGTCATATATATGAGTCGTTTGTAATTGACTGAAAGCTTAGAGCGTTTGTCTATTAAGTGCTGGGAGTAGTCGAAAACGTCGGGCGGTTTCTAGTCGTTTCAGTCTGGTATGAGGATTCAAAGTGAGTCGTTTGTCAAGGTGGAGTCCTAAGTATCGGATTTGTTCGACAGGGATAAGAGGGCTATTGTTGAAGGATACTGTAGGACAGGATTATCATTAATATAAAAAAAAAAAATAAATACTTATTTATTTCTTCTGAGAAAGAGTTGGTCGGAGGGTGCGGTCAAATAAATATTAAATTAAAAAAAAATATATTATTTTTAATTGTTTCGCCGACGTTTCGACCCACCTTGCGGGTCTTCATCAGGGCGTTGCATCAGACCTCTTGTCCTCTTGTCCCCGACTTACTCCTTCTCATATTATATCACGGTCAATCATCTCTACATCATTATTTATTTCTTCTCTAGCTTGCCTTCCTCCAAGTTTATAATATGAAAACTAGCTATTGTTCAGCAGTGGGGTTAGGCAAGGGGATGCCCTCGCCTGTCTATTGTTCAACTTGGCAGAGGAGAAAGCTGTAAGAGACTCCGGTATTCAGACCAACGATATAATTTTCAATCGCCTGACACAGCTTCTTGGATTTGCTGATGATATTGACATAATAGGTAGGTCTGAACGGGCTCTCAGAGAAGCGTTTATAGGCCTTGAAGCAGCTGCAAGACCACTTGGTCTAGAAGTCAACGAGAGGAAAACTAAGTATATGAGAGTTGGTGGTGAGGTGGATCTGAACTCTCCATTTGAGGTAGGTTCTTTTAAGTTTGAGAGAGTGAAAAGTTTTATATACCTTGGGTCTGAAATTAATAGCAAAAATGACATGGCTCAAGAAATACAAAGAAGGATCACGGCTGCCAATAGATGTGTCTTTGGACTTGGCCGACACTTAAGAAGTAGGTACCTCTCAAAGAAGACCAAGCTGATCATATACAAGACCCTTGTTCGGCCTGTTTTGACATATGGCTCAGAGGCTTGGACGATGACCAAAAACGATGAGATGAAGCTGAGTGTGTTTGAACGAGGAGTCCTCAGAAGGATTTATGGTCCAGTAAAGGAGGGTGATGCCTGGAGGAAAAGAAAAAATAGGGAGCTCAGTTCTCTCTATACAGACATCGACGTAGTCACCTATATTAAACTGGCCAGACTAAGGTGGGCAGGGCATGTGGCCAGAATGAGCACCGTTACAATAATACCAAATACCAAAGAAAAATAATGATACCAAAGAACTAAAATAGAAATACCAAAGAAAATAATGATGGAGGAGCTGCATCTCGTAAGACGGGTAGGAAGGCCGAGGACGAGATGGTTGGACAACGTGGCCTATGATGCGAGAACCCTGCTTGGTGTACGGAACTGGAGAGCTGCAGCTGAAGACAGAGCCAACTGGCGGAGGCTCTTGGAGGAGGCCCAGTCTCGGTAACGGGATGTCGTGCCACACACACAAAAAAAAAAAAAAGTTATTGTTCATATGTTTCTCATTAACGCTTTAATTTTATGCTCTTTTTCTTTAAATACCTACTTCATTTTATAAATTATTATACACATTAACATAACTGTATAGTATTTAATTATCTTCTTATTTTTCTTTTTTTAGGAAGCTTCTGTTTGTATATTTTTCTAAGGTTAAGGAAAATATACTACCATTTTTCTTCAGTCCTCTTAATTACATCTATTATATCTGACATTCGGGACGATTTTCCCATCCTCAGAGTATTCCTTATGAATACTCGCTTTTCTGAAGTGGCACCAGTTGTCAAAAATTCAATAATTGTCATATCTATTTAATTTTTTTTTTCAACTGTAATAGATGAAATAGAAGAAAAATGGAAGTATATTTGTCTTAATCCTAGAAAAATATAATATTTAAATTTTAGAAAACTCTACGGTAATTTCATTCGTTTCCAGATCTGGACATGCGCCTGGCCAATATTTTACTTTAATTAGGATAAATAATTTTACAATCTAAACAATTTTTTTTGTTTGATTTTGAGGAATTAACTATAATATTAGCTTGAATTGTTTGATGCTTTACAAGGGTACCCATCCCCTCTCCCCCTCCCTAAGCCCAATAAACGTTCCTACACCCTTCCCAAGATATTTTATTCCTTTCTTCTTCTTAAAAACATAACAAACGAAACTAGAATTTGAATATTCTGATATTATATATCATTACACATCCTGTGGTCTGTTTCATGATTCCACTGGTCTTTTGATTTTAAACTTTTTATTTTGAAAATGTATAACATCGTCGAAAAGTGCCCCCTTATTAATTTTGATGGTGCAACTTGCGCCATAAAACCTTCTTCTGGATACTCCTGATGCTTTATTGTTTTATTAAGTTTAGTTTACCAAACATTTCCATCACTTAAAAAACAAAGGCCTGGTTTTTATTCGGTATATTTTGCATATTTAGTGGTTTAAATCAAGTGAAAAATAGAATCATTAAATTAATAATTAAAATAAAAAATTCTTGATAAAATCTTCAGTAACTGACTTTTCAGAATTCGGGTTTTTCCGGGATTTTCATCTACCATTTTTATCCTTTTAAAACATTTAATTCAGTTTAAATTTCAGATTGTCTTATTTTCTTTACAGGTGGCAATATTTTTTATTATTTTCAATGTCAAAGCTAAGAGCATTGTTTTGTTAAAAATTGAATTATTAAATCGATTCTTAAGATACCAAAGATGAAACAGCTGTTCAAAACAAATTTCGATTAAACAATAGCCAATAATTTTATGTAAAGCGATCAGTTTCACATAAAAATATTTCAAATTATAGTAGATAAGGTTTTTCAGAAGGAAATTCATTAATTAATTTAATGCACAAAATTAATCGCATAAATCGTCGCTTTAAATGTCTTGTGTGTTAACTTACAATAATTTGCTGCATGATATTCCATGAAAAGTATGACAATATAAAGAAAATAACAAACATAAAATATTGAGCTATAAGAACATTTAAAAAATAACAGAGAGATTTATTTGTATTTTCTCTTAATTAAATGACAATTTTATCGCGAAACATTAAATATACTTTTTCCAGAAGAGATCGTTGTTATGTCAATTAAAAAATTATATATTTTTTAAAATTGTATTAATTCCTTTTTTAAGTGGCCTTAAAGATTACTACGCATCAGGCTCCAAATTTTCTACTAAATATCACAAATTGTCTAAATATTATACTGGATCATTTTGTTTTAAGAAAAATAAGTAGCATGATTCTAATTATATTTGTTGTTGAGTCAAAAGATAGAAAGTGTTTTTATATGTGCTTTTCGCTCTTGGGTTTTATTTTAGAAGTACTACGTATTAAGTTCCGTCTAAAACGGTTCTAAGTACTTCGAAGACTTCATTAATTATTGTTGAATTATTAATTTATTCTTTATTTTGAATATATCATCTCGTCATACACCAATTTATATTAAAATTAACATGTGATTTTATTAATTTGACAATTTTCTGCTCCTAAAATAAATTCATTTAATCAAAACATGCATAATGTAAGCTTAAATATACACAAAAATCAAATTTTGGTCGAATATGCAACGTAATACTTAATATATAAAAAAATTTAGAATCACTTGTTTCATAAAGATATCGTCTCATATTAAAAAAAAAAAATCTGGTGCGTGCAACACATAACTTTCACTTACCCGCTATACTTTGAATAGAGGTTATTTTCTGGTAATGTTGAGCTATTATAAAATTTTTGAAGTGGGTTTTTAACCAAGCTAAAGCTTAAAGCTTACATCTAACGAATCATTAATAACATTAAAATAACAAAAATCCTTTTTATTTTATTGAGGGTTGATTATGGATTGTACTATCTGTTGTTTATGGATCTTACTTCTATTGGTTATTAAACTATTATTTTCCATTGCAAAGTTTACTAAAATGGAATTACGATATTTGTATTGTCTATCATAGAAAGGTCAAAAGTTGTCACACTAATAGTAAGTCTATAGTGTTGGGATATCACAAAGGGAAAATTCATGAAATTATTTACAAATTTAACTTTCCCAAAGATTACATGTTGATTTTTCGGAATAAACGGATGATAGATTCCTAATTACTTAAATATAATATTTAGATCTAGAGTTATTAAATTACAGTAAATATATTTAAGGTTATAAACATATCCATGAAATATTTTAATATTTCACTTCTTTCACACAAGTACGATGAAATTGTATCTTAAACAATGCCATTGCCTTGATTCCGTGGATTTTAAATTATTTTTACTAAACTTAAAAAAATGTTTAAAAGTTTACATTTAGTAAGAAAATTTCATTTAATTTCCTTGAAAACGTGTGATTTACGTTAAATAATATTATTTTTTAGAAATTATTATTTATATTTTTTTAGTCACTCTCTGTTACCTTCTACAGCTTTATTTATTAGATTTTTTTTTCTAAAATTCTCTGCTTTCCAACGATATATTATACGTATACCTTCTGACTATTATTTCTGGGGATTCATTTTCGACCTGGATAAGCATTTCTCTTTTTTTCTCCTTTATTCAGTTAGCAATTTTTTTTAAAAAAAGTTATATTTAACCTTTTTTCATAATTTTTAACAATGAAAGATAGTTAATTATTTAAAATAAATCAAATTAAAGGCACTTTAGAGGAGGACATGTTGAACATCGGGCATTTAAGACCTGTAAAGTGACATCAATGGGTATAAGACCTAAATGATAATAAAAAAACACTTAATTATACAATGATATATAATGAGTTTAATCAAAGTCGTTGGAGCCGTTTTTGAGAAAATTGTAAAATTGTGTTTCCTCGTTGCTATAAAGTGGCACATCCAAGGCATACACCTATTTTAAATACGTGATATCAGTTTCTTAAGACTTTTCGTTTTTGAGTTAGACTGTTCGCAAACACACAGGCCATTTTGTGGGACTTGGTTATTTGGACTCAGAGGACTTATTTCCGTTGAAAACTCATATTCGAAAGTTTTCACGATCGCAATACTTTCCCTTACTATATATTACAAATATTAGTAAGTGAAAGTAAAAAACTATGTGAAAAAAAAAATACATTTGCATGTAATTCCTCTCTTTAATTATATTATCTTCTTCGTATAGTGCCTTACTCAAATTTTTTTTACTTTTCAGGTATCCAACTTTCATTGGAGGAGATTTAGAAAAGACTATAAGATAATAATCAATTTTATTAAGACTACTGATAAACATATAAACAAAATTATAGGATTATCTATGATTAATTTTTATTTTATAAGTACGCAACTATTAGAAGAAGTAAGGTGAGTTAAATTTAAGTAAGGTTAAAATATTAAGTTTATGTCTCTACGATTCATCCGATTAGTGATTTTTTTTTAACCGATACAGACTATATTTTAGGCCTAAAAGCTTGTAGACTTTTCTGTTGGTTTTTTTTAATTGATTTTAGGTTACATATATTTTTTTCAAAAATGTAGATTATTTCTATTGATTTTAATTTTATATTTTTAAAATTATTGTACAATAAATTGTTGAGAGAAAGGGGATAAATGATATTCTGGACCCATCTCTTTTATTATTTAGGGGGGAAAGGGAAAGGGAGTATCGTCCCCTCCCTAGTGTTGCCCAATTGCGAGACCAAGACGACTCTTGGTCTTGTGCAAACTCAGTCTTGGATTTAACAGTCTTACGGTTACCTATTAGCTTATTACTATAGATATATTATTGTAATTTTTTTTGGTAGGAGAAACATGATTAAGCCCGAATGAAAAATTACAAGAGTTAAATGCAAAAGTATATAGGTTATACTAATTCTTTACCACTAGCGGATACAGCCGAGGAGCGCCCTCCCTCCCCCTGAAGGCTGAAAAAAAATTACAAAAAACTGTTATTTAAAGAAAAGATAAATAGAGCATTTCAACCCAACAACTATAATCTTCTTGAAGAATCCATGCGAATCATAAAACTGCTCAGGATAATAGTTTGTATATTTCTAATTAGAATGTGTTGTTCTTTTATTAAAATAGCTGCTATTGGGAACGTTTTCATGAAGGAATGTAATTATTATTTGGTCGCCGATTTGATCGGAATCGGTAATTATTCTTAGTTTTTTTTTCTTAGAGAACTCATTTCCAAGCAGCAGCGCCATTTACAGTAATCTTTCTCATATTTTGACAATATCTGTAAAAATCAGCGTTCATTGACCGTGGTTATCGACCATATCACTTAATCAAATTATTAAGTTTAGGTACTCGTTCAACGCACAATTTGACGTTTTTTAATTTCTTAAAGAATACGTTTTTCGCTTTGATGCACTGTTTAGTGGTATTACATGAAACAAAAATGAGATAAATCCTGAATTTTCGGCTCTAAAAAGTTTTCTCTTGGTGAACCGGATTAGCAATGGGTTTAGTTTTTTACATGTCTAAACCCATATACAGGGTGTCTCGTAAGTAGAGGGAAATACTTAAAGGAGTGATAGCAAAAGCCAATAAAGAATGGTTCGATTTTTAGCAGGAATTAAAGTTTTGTGATTATATATTTGTTACGGTTTTTGTTAAATAGGAAGTGATAAAAAACAATATTTAATTTAAGTAATTAATGGTACCATCACTGAAAACAAGTAAAAATTTACTATAAATACAAAAAGAGTTTACTTTTGTTAAAACCATTTAAAAAAGACTTTTGAGCGGCTAAACTCAGCAAAGGAGTGGGAGGAAACGGGTAGTGGTGGAGGGACGGGTATGGGTGGGGGAAAATCCCCTGAGAAAAATCCTGGATCCGCGAATGTTGTTTACATATAGTAACTAAAACTGTCAAGCATTAGTTACTAACTATTTTGCCTTACTTTTTTATCAAAAAATCGATTATTTTTTACCAATATTGGTCTTGGTCTTGCAACAGTTAGGTCTTGGTGTTGGTCTTACAAAGTGCAAGACCAAGACCTATTTTGGACAATACTTACTACCCCTCCCCAAGTCTGCGCCTATATAAGCCCGGCATAAAAATTACCTTTGTTAAATTGGTATTGAACCCATTAAGATTTTTATAAACGTTTAACTTTGTAGATAAATGATAAATGCTAATTTTATACGTTCTTGCATGCTTTTGATATAGCATAAGTATAGAATAAATACGTGTGTACTTTATACACCTAGTACAAAGTGAAAAAAAATCTTTGCATCAGCGTTTCCACCATATTTGTTTCAATCTCACTTTTGGTCAGTCAGATTTTTTCTTTTTTCCCCCTCAGAACGAACTTAAAAATCCCTTCCGCCGCTCAAATATATTCAAAATAATATCGTCAGCACCATGTTAAATTAACGTTACAGATTCGTTACTTTAACATGGAGCAGACGATATGTAACTATAACTACTCGTTTTATGTATGTTTTACTTATATTATTGAAAAATTATTAATCATTAAATTGAATTATTATTAATTCAAGCCCAAATTAGGCTTTTATTGTTAAAAATTATTTCCCTCCCAATCTAGGAATTTCTCTAAAAGGGAAACTTATTCACCAAACTGAAAACTCTAGTCCACATTGTGTTAATTAAATCAGGGCAAAGCAGGGTTTCCACTTTGGTGAAAAAGTTCCCTTTTAGGGAAATTTCAAGATTAGGAGGAAATAAATAGAGACCATTTTTATCAATCAATGGCTTTTTATAAATCTGTGCCTAGTTTAATTTACTTTTTCAACAATGTAAATAAAACGAGTACTTGTTTGATTTTGAATATATTTGAGCAGAAGCCTTAGTGGATCAAGGATTTATTTTGGGGGAGAGGGGGCTTCAGCCCGAAAGCTTTTTTTTCATAAAAATAACGATAATTACTTTGGAAAAAAAAGAAAGAAACTAACTACCTATATGAAATGGTGTTTAAGTGATTTCTAAAGTCCTTTTAAATGTAATTGCAGGAACAATAGTACTTTAAGAGATAATTTTTAAATATTTTTTTCCATAAAACATGATTATACTTTACCATTTTGGGGGAAGCTTCAGCCCCAAAGCCCCTCCCGCCCGTGAGCAGAAGAGATTTTTAAGTTCGTTCTGAAGGGGAAAAAAAAAGGGAAATTATGACAGACCAAAACGGAAATTGAAACAATATTGAGGAAACGTGTATCAACACGTTTCCTCAATATTTCCTCAGTTCCTCAAGACATACCTTAGTGGTCATCTTTGTTCAGTGGAAAACTATATTTGAAAAGTTGTTCGTTGTCATTTCAATTATTACAAGTGAAGATAACAATTTTTTTATTTGGAAACTTTAATCAACATTTTTTTTTTTTTTTTTTTACTGGATAATCTCCAATCACTATTTCTGACATACGGAGAGGGGAGGTAGTTCTAGAGGTACAACCAAACCTATTCTAACCAATGTGGGAAGGTCGAATTTCATTCCGTGGGTCCGCCACGAAATAAAATTCAACCTTTCCCAGGCCGGACTTGTTGACATTAGTCAACAATAATGAAAATATTTGTATGTGTCCTCTTAAAACTAATATGGCCGCGGTCGCTTTGACCAATAGAACAAGACATATGTCCTTATTAACTTAATAAAGTCACTGTACCTTGCAGAACCCAGCACGATAAGTACTCGGAACGAGTGTTCTTTCTCTTCTCCTTATCCTTTCTACTCCTGAGGACCATGTCGAGCTTCATGAGCTCTGCTTCTGTTCACGATGAATGGCTCAAGGTATCGACGCCAATACATGCATGTCTCAGTCATACTCCAGAGGTAATACTTATATTTATATTTCAAAACCATACCAGACTGAAACGACAAGAAACCGCTCGACTTTTCCGACTACTTCAGCACTTACCAGACAAACGCTCTAAGCTTCCAATTAATTACAAAAGACTCATATACATGACTATAATAAGGCCTATTTGGATTTATGGAGTTGAGCTATGGGGCTCCACTAAACCATCGAATTCCTCTCGTATCCAATCCAAAATCCTTCGTAAAATCCTCAATGCTCCCTACTTTGTCACAAATAAAACCATTCATAATGACCTTAATGATTCTTTTGTTTCAGATCTGGCCCAATCCAGATACCTATCCTACCATAATAAACTTCAGAATCATCCCAACCTTCTCGTTTCTAACCTTGCTTCCTCTTCAATTCCTTATAACCCTCCGAGGCGTCTGAAAAGAAGATGGCCCTGTGATCTCCTAATGTAGACATATCATTAGAGTGCTACCATTGGGTAGTTATTCAGCAAGTTTTTTCATGTCATTATATCCATGTGTTCAAGTTTACTTGTATTTATATAATATAGTTGTACATATCATTAAGAAATAATAAAAAAATATATATATATTTCAAAACATACAAGAATAACATATATATATCGCTACTGTTAGTGCAAAATATTGTATGTAAAAACCTATTATTTCTTTATAATTTATTTGTATAATTTCACATTTTATTCCCCTCTCCAATTTTCCTGTTTAGCATATTAATAATAGACATAGATGCCCATCTCCCCCAAGCTCTATTGTACATGAACCTTCCCCCACTCCTCCCAGGATATTTTTTATTGATATCCTCTTTTTAAAACAGACAAAACAAAAATATAATTTTAAAATTCCTGTAGTATTTTCTATATGTCTTTTGATTTGAAAGTTTTCAATTAAAAAATTTATAACCCGGTCGAAATGTGCCCCCCTCCAAAATTCAAAACCCCTTCAAAAAGTGCTCCCCTCAAAAGTTGTGATGGCGCAACTTGGGCCATGAAACCCCCTTCTGGTCACCCCTGCTTGTAGCAGTAGCAGACTACAAAATGTCACCTTTGGCGCAGAGAGAATAAACATTGTTACATAAAATCTTTTCTACTAACAGCAGCAATATATATATTATTATACTTCGAGGCGGTCTCTTGTGTCCCATCATTTTCATCACAATATTTCTTTGGATCTTACCTATTTCAAATGATCAACTCCAAGCACTATTCCTTATAACTCCAAGCACTTCTATAATTTCCTACAGTTCAAATCCGTAGTCCACTTCCAGAAAACAAGATCTCGTGTTTCTAACCTTTATATCCTTTCCCATAGAAATAAAATCCCAAACCGAAGCTCTATAATCATGAAATAAATTTTATGAATTGAATTTTGATTGAAGGAAATGATCGTTTAAATTGTTTAAGTTTTAATTTTAAGAATCTACTCAGAATGTTTATAACGTTTTCTTTTTCATTTCAATTGTGTTTTTTCTCAAAATGTTTTTACTTTCTGTTTATATATTGTCACTGAAGATTTTTATATATTGTTTTAATTTTTATTAACCTAGTTTTTGGCAAGATATGGTTTTTGTTATTTGATCATAATTATTATTCTTAAGGGACCTTATCTCAGAATATATTTATCTCTCTGTTCTGGTCGGGTCTTGTCTTTGTTTGGGAGTGTTATCTTGTTCAAATCACCTCCTTACACAACCGTTGACTAAGAAGTATTACTTTCCCTAAATATTACTAAACCTAAGACCTATTATGGGTTGTAGTGGTTCAAGTTGTTTTGTTTTTTTTAATTAAATGGTTTATAATTTATTTTCAATCTTATACTTGGGAGATAATCCTGTTACTATAACAGTAACAATTAAGAATTACTGCTGCAACAATAAAAATAAAACATTTAGAATTAAAGTTGGTAATTTAGGTGAAAAATACAGCACTGCCTTGGCAACACTGGTTGTGACCTCTTTCAGTAACAATTTCTATTCCTCTTGGTCTTCTACTGCTGCCATTCATTTCCTGTGAATCTCACTAATATTTATTCCTTCCACAAACAACTTTCATATTTAAATTACTTGCATTATAACATAATTTAATACTGTGTAGTATATATTTAAGTTGAATCAATAAATATAAGAAATTGATTCTGATAAATTTAAAACTTAATTACACATAAATGGAGTTAGAAACATTTAAAAAATGTTTAATTTAATTTTAGTTTATTACATCCTTCTAACCTAAGAATTTTTTTTTTTTAATAATCTTTTAAATCATCTATTACAAGATCTGATGTGTGGTTAGGTGGACAGGCTTCTAGCAGAGGTGCATTCCGATAATGTTGCAATGAGTGCTTTTAATATGTTTCATATCACTCGAGCTTTTATAATGACTGTAGGTATACATTTTATTAATTATTTGCTAGGTTGTTATTGTATAAGATTGAATTTAATCATTTAGACTCATTTATATATCATTAATATTATTATTGTAGAGTAAATATTCATTCTAATAACTTCCTAATTTTAGATGTGTGGAGTTGTTCTGACATACGAGCTGCTTATATTACAAACACATGAGGCAGAAAATATGGCGAGGTTACAGAATGTCACAATTCCAGAATGACAGCCAATCAATCAGGATGGAGTCATCTTGATTAATTTGCTGTCATTCACTCTTAATAAATATTTCCTTGAAGCTTTTTTAATGTAGAAATACATTTTAAACTTTTGTTTCATCATAAAGTCTTTATTGCTCGCTCTGTCAATTTTTGGAATTCCCTCCCTATCAAAATTCAACATTCCCCATCCATATCCACATTCAAAACCCTCCTATTCCAATTCCTATCCCATAAACAGTCAGATAGTTGCTAACCATTCGACAACATACATTTCTTTCATGCCATTCATTGTCAAATATCAATGCTAAATGATAATGTATTTATATATTAATCAGGCACTTTATATTTTCAGATTCAGTTTTCTGTTTTCTCAACAGAAACACAAGGCTTATTTTAATAAATAATTTAATATATTTTTATTTTTTAATTCTTTATTGTTTTCTTAAAAGTGTATACTGGTCTATCAGTGCAAATAGCTTTAAGTGTCTTGTCATAGTGTTAATTGTTTTGTATATAGTTTCGTTTGTTTTGTATATAGAATGTTTAACATATATTTTCTTTACATCATTTCTTTTTTTCTTTATTTCTTTGTTTTGGCCAGATGTGTGTCCAGAATAAAGTTATTCTCTATCTATCTATCTTTTAAAATTGATTCTTGATTGCATCATTTAAACATTATCAAACTACATATGTTCTATTATTTTTTATAGTTCTAATGCTAAGTGGGAAAGTTTGGCTGTATAATCCAATGCTATAAAAAACATATTTTTGCCCATTACTTGCATAAATTGATTTAAGTAAAGGCTACTAAATGATTGTTAAGTCAGTGCTAAAAGATAAATTAAGCCTTCTATATATTTATTTTTATTATCAAGATATCAACCTCAACCAGAGCAAAAAGATATAAAATGCGAAAGGCCAAAAACAAGAAGAAAACAAAAGATTTGGCATTAAGAATAAAGAGGAATGGGAAACATAGCGGATGTTGTTTGGGTCAAGAAAAACTATATTAGGACAAAATTACTTAAAATAAAATAAAACTACATCAGTACTAATGCTGTTGATTATCACAATATATTCTTTTACAATAACAATAATTTTGATACACTTTTTATAAAGTTTTTCATTTACAATAAATTCAATGAAAATTTTTTTAAAAGGTATTAAAGCTGTCTTACAACTTACTGTAGGTGCTCTCATGGGTTACCATATCTGACCTTATATCAGCTGGACTTCTACAGCCTATCACAAACAAAATAAAAACATGTGATTTATTGAAATTCAAGCTTATATTTTAAAGCAAATGGTTTATTTTTAAAAATGATAAGTTTATTCTAAATATGCCATAGTCAAGTTTATTGCTATCTATTAATACAAATTGTATGGAAATAGTTGAACCTAATTCTAATTTAAGGAGATGTTAGTCGGATGAGCGGAGGAGGAGGAAGTTGCTGTCAATCACGGGCGGATCTACGGGGGGAGGAGGGACTTTCGGGCTGAAGCCCCCCCCCCAAAATGGAAAAATATAACCATGTTTTATGGGAAAAAATATTTAAAAAATACCTCTTAAAGTATTATTGTTCTTGTAATTACATTTAAAAGTACTTAAGGAATAACTTAAACACCATTTCGTATAGGTAGTTAGTTTCTTTCTATTTTTCCAAAGTAATTATCGTTATTTTTATGAAAAAAAAAGGTTTTGGGCTGAAGCCCCCCCCAAAATTAAATCCTGGATCCGCTAGTGCTGTCAATAGACATATATTAGCTATTATAGTATGTATCCATTGACCTTTTCCCAGACTAACTTCTTATTATGTTAATACAAATAGTATAAAAATTATTCAAACCTCCTGTTTTTAGCCTCATATAGTTAGATTGATCACATATTTTCCTGATTTCCTTTTTTTATCTCAATTTATTTAATTTTCAATACGAATTTTCTTGATGGCCACAGCCCGAAAATTTTATTTTATATATAAACAGGGGTGCCCATCCCTCCCAAGGTCGATGGCACATCCCTCCCATTCTCCAGATATTTTATTGCTCTCCTCTTCTTAAAAACATTAGAAATTTAAAGTACCATAAATCATATACAATTACACTTGCTAAGGTATCCCGTTCCATGTATTCCTTTTGTCTCCTTGTTTGAAACTTTTCAATCCGAAAATTCATAACTCTGTTGAAATGTGCTCCCCTCAAAAATTCAAAATCCCGTCCGTTAAAATTAGTCCCCCCCCCTCCGAAATTTGTGATGGTGCAACTTGCGCCATGGGCACTTCTGTATACTTCGGGAAAAAAGAAAGAAACTAACTAAATGTATGAAATGGTGTTTAAATGATTCTTGAAGTCCTATTAAATAAAATTACATAATCATGAATAATACTTTTAGAGATAAGTTTTTAATATTTATTTTATAAGACATAGTTATGTCTTACTATTTTAGGAGAGGGGGGCTTCAGCCCGAAAGAACCCTCCCTCCCCCTGTAGAGCCATCTGCAGACTTAAGCTTTTCAACATTTTATTAGATTGCAAGAGGTATTATGACAAAAGAACCATTACCATAGTGTATTGGAAAAAAAAACAGCAGATTCTGGGAGGGACATTAACCAAGCCAGTATGTCTGTTAATCTTGAATGATAAATTAATTAAATAATTTATTGAATATATAATTAAATTAGTATAATTATAAAAGTGCCTCCATAGTCTAGTGGCTAACTAGCATGCAATTATCACATAGTGAAAGTTCCCGGTTCAAGACTGGTTCCATTATATTCTTTAGGGACAGGGTGGCCGAGCGGGCTAACGTGTGTGTACAACACCACGTGTTGCCCGACAACCAGATAACTGAATTTATACGGAATAAAATAAGTACAAATTCGCATCCTGGTGCTAGTGGGGTTTTAAACTTTGGTATTAATCCCTAGCCCTCACCCCTGGCCCTGGAACATCCCGTATAGCCTAAAAGGCGAGGAAGGGGAGATCGAAGAAAAAAAAAAAATTATAAATTGGTATTACAATTAAATTGGAATATATTTAATTAAATATAACAAATATTTGGTGCATTGGTAATTATTCATAAGTTAAAAACTTTTTACTGTGATAAATTTTATCTCTAAAATAGTGAAAATATACTCTTACCTGCAAGTGCTAAAGTTGTGTCAAATTCATTGCCCAAGATATCAAGAACTTTCTTCACACCTTCCTCTCCATTATAAGTCAGACCCCAAACAGCCGGTCTTCCAACAAACACCTAAAAAAAAATTGTAAATTGACTTGAGGAATAAAAATTTGATTTTTAATGATAAACAACCTTACTGTAGTTAGTCAATTATACTATGGGATCTCACTTTAATTACTATATTTAATCAATATATATTTAATGATATTTACAAAAAATACCTCATTAAATCCCACAATCTTAATTTAATTATTAAAAAATCCTTCCAATGAGAAATTTCAGTATAAAACGTTTCAGCTCTACAGGCCATTATCAAACAGTTAAAAAAAAAAGAGTAAAAAAACAAACAAACAATAGTCATGAAAATAAAATATCTTTTAATAAAATTTATAAAAAGTTTACTTACTACTAATTGTAGTAAGTTGTTTGATTGATTTTTTTTCTTTCTTTAGCTTTCCATTTTTTCTCACTTTGAAATAGTTAAAAAAATAATTTTCCCTATTTTCTACTTCATGAATTAGGTCCTATCCTTTAAAGACTGGAGCTTAGACTCTGTCTAATTATAATATAGTCTCATAATAACTTATTTCATTATTAAAAAATGAATGAATTTTTACTAATGGAATAAAGATTGTTGGGTTAATGGGGTATTTTTTGTAAATAACATTAATCGTATATTGATTAAATATAGTAATTAATTTTTGAAATTTTGCATCAATAGATGATATTAATGAATGTTAGTAGGTAATAATAACAACATTAAATATGCAGTTAAATTTATTAAACATAATAAAATAAAATTGGTCAGTATCAGAGATTCCTAAACTATGGTTCACAGACTCTTGAGGGTTTTTGTAATCATTTTTGGATTTCATGAAACAATATTTTACATCTTTTAATTTTTATTTATAGAACTTTTTCTTTTATAGAAATAATTAATTTAATAAAAAATCTACATGTTCAAGACTTTTATATTTTTCATCACTTAACTAAGTTAATGTGTTTTCTTCTAATTCAGTTGAATTTGATAAAATGAGTTTCTCAGATCATGACCTCATATTTATTTATAGTATTATGGATGATTCTTTAATGAATTATTTACTAGTTACCATTTTAGCTCCTAAGGCCAGTGCTTTGAAAACATCTGTTCCATATCTTATCCCGCCATCCAAATAAACTTCAACTCTATCTCCTACTGCTTTACTGATTTCGGGCAAAGCTTCTATCTAAAAATTCGTAACTATAGTTGGACATGAAGTAAGCTAAAAAAATTAAGTAAAAAAAAATAATTTTATTACTGAAGCAGGTGAAGTGTCAAGCTGCCTGCCACCGTGATTAGAAACAATAACACCTCCAACGCCAATGTCAGCTGCTATTTTAGCATCTTCTGCAGTCAGCACCCCTTTCACCATCACGGGCAACTTAGTTATCCTTTGAATACAAAAAACATATCAGACCATTGTCAAATTTCTCTCAGAAAAGTAAAAAAATTTAAATTTTATGTTGTCTGAAGTTATACATTTTTTGTTCAGTAAAAAGCCATCATTATAAAATTGTTAAAATATTAATGCAAGTTATAAATTTATTTAAAATAATAAAACTTAATATTCTTAATAGTAATGGTATGAAACTTGTTTTAATAAAAAATCCTGGAAAATTAGCTGTCTAAGAAAATATTCTTGAAAAAAATTATAAGAACAAATATTATTGTGAATTATAATAAAAGAGGGGCGGGATGGGCAAGCGGGCTAACGAGTGTGCACATCACCTCGCCTTACCCGCTAACCCGATAACCTAAGTTATTGATGGAAAAATAATTACAAGTTCATGTTCCAGTGCCATGGAGGGCTTTTAACTCTAGCATTAATTCCCTGGCCATGAAAAACTCCATATAGCCTAAAAGGTGAGGAAGAGAAGACAAAAAAAGAAAAAAAACTAAGAGAGGTCAAGGTCCATCTTGAACTATATATATAAGATAAAGACCAGAGTCTGACAATATCAGTCTTAATACCATCCTAGAATTAAACATCCTGAATGTATATAAGAAGGATTATTTTACAAATAAAGCACTATTGATTCTGAAGTCATGAGTGTTCTATCTCAAATCTTTTCCTTTTTCTTACTATTTAGTTCACCGACACTTAACTTTATATATATATATATATATATATATATATATATATATATAAAAAGTTAAAATTTTAACTTAAATTTTAATTTTTTTTTTTCTATGCGATAGGGATATCACTTCAATGTGATTCTTGTATTCTGAGAAGATAGTTAAAAATCTACATCTTTTATTTTCTGAAAGTGTCACTTTATTCGCTTGCGGATCCAGGATTTAATTTTGAGGGGGGGGGGCTCCAGCCGGAAAGCTTTTTTTTTCATAAAAATAATGATAATTACTTTGGAAAAAAAAGAAATAAACTAACTGCCTACATGAAATGGTGTTTAAGTAATTCCTAAAGTCCTTTTAAATGTGATTACATGAACAATGATACTTTAAGACATAATTTTTTAATATTTTTTTCCTTAAAACATGGTTATATTTTACGATTTTGGAGGGGGCTTCAGCCCGAAAACCCTCCCCCCCCCCTCCTTCCCCCGTAGATCCGCCCATGACTTTATTTTACATTAAATAAGCTTCAAATTGTCAGAATGTTTTTTTATAAATTATCATAATTTATGTTAGAAACATTAATAGAACCTAAAGTTTAATGAACAGAAATAAATGAACAGGTGAAACTCGTAAAGTAATTAAATTTGAATTACCTTTTTAACCATTTTACATCATCCCAAGTGATGTTCAGATCAAAAACATCTTCTATGTATTTCTGAAGAGCTGATCCACTCGTTTTTTCGGAGACACCTGATGATAAATTTCCTGAGAAGTTGGCCAATCTAAAATATATTAACATTGAAACTAGGATCTGATATACAATGAATTATAAATCAACTTATAAAAATAATATCATATATCATTTAATCAATTTCATAGAAATAAAAACCTTGAAATAAATAATTTATCAATTTAATGGTATGGTTAGTAACAAAATGAAATTTAAAACATCATATTGCCAAATTAATCAGGAACAGGTTCAACTGAGATGATTTTGCTCATATCGGAATAAATTATTATAATTTAAGTGTATTTTATCGTATTTATGTTTACTTTTTTCTCCTTCGCTTTAGCCTTTATTTGTAATATTGTTTTTGTTAGTTTTCTTCTTTCTTTAATGTCAACTTCACTTTTTAAATTCAATTCAGTTTTACTTTTGTCTTACAATGGATTAAAAAGAATGTTTTTCTCACTAGTGCATTCCAGATGTGCCATTCTTCTTCTTGAAACACTTGATAAACTTTAATTAGTTTATTCTAAGATACAACCACATCTTGTGCTACGGCTTATATGCAGTGTATAAGTTTTTATTAATTTAGTAAGTAATGCTATTATAATCATATTTCTGTTTTCAAATGACCCGTGATATGTTTTTGAAATAAAATTTAATAGTTTCATTGTTTTTATCTATGATTTCAGTTTTATGTATAATGTTTAACATTTTTTTTTATTTACAAAATAAATTAATTTTATTGCTTGATCAAAGTGTTTTTGTTTATCAGCTACATTAAAAAACAATTAAATATATATATATATTGAAAGTAATCGTAAACTTGTTTATATCCAATTGGATAAAGTAATAGTGGAAATCATCTTCTATCACCAAAAGCTGCAGCACATTTTTTTGACTATGGATGTATGTATTGAGACAAGTAACATCAATAGAAAAATGAGAAATTATATGTTGGTTCTTTACAAGTGATCCAGTCACTACGTGATCCAAATGTACTAAAAATGCATGATAGAAAGTGAAACGTTGGCAATAAAAACAGAATTTTATTAAATATTATACGGCAATAATAATTTATGATTTCCAAATTTACCAATCATTCCAACCTTCTGAAGGAAGCAACAAGAGGATATCGACTGCATCAACAGATGGACAGAAATAAATGAATTAAAGCTAAATGCTTAAAAAATTTCTAAACCATCCGAACCCCCTTGTTTCTACACTTGCTTCCTCGACTATTTCTGACAATATTCCAAGATGTCTGAAAAGAAGATGGCCTTGGGATTTTCTAATGTAGAACTTTAATTTGAGTTATACTAATGGTTAATTTCTCTTCATGCCATGGGCGTAAATGTCATGTTACCAGTGTCACATTTACTTGTTGTATTTTTCATGTAATACAGTTGTAAATTTCATTAAAATTAAAAAAAAAAATGTGTTTAAGAAACATACATACTTGAGATGAGGAGGAAGAATGAATTTATTCCTAGCATCAGCATATCTCATGCCCCATGCACTGGCGTCAACTGTAAGAACTAGAGCTTTGAATCCAGCAGCTTCAGCACGAGCGACTAACTTCTTTGTTAGCTCCCTTAAAAAAATTCAAGAGTTATTAATAATTAAATTCAGATGAATTATGATTAAAATAAATAATAGTCCTATAATAATTCCTGAAAAGAATTTAGATTGAACTTAATAAGATAAAATTTAAAATAGCTATGATTGGCTGATACTTCATCTGAACAAATATTGAAAGTAATGATTGAGATAAAAGTTCTTTTGACCTCCCATACTTATAGTTATTTATCATACTAGATAACTCAGAAATAAACAATTTGATCAAAGGATCTGCATTAATATAGGAAACAACTATTTTTATGTAGGAAAATCTTGTGTTATTTTAATTAAACGTGTTTCGTCTGAAAACTACTTCAGAGTGTCTGAAAGATCTTTTTTGCCAAATTTCCTGTCCTTTTCAGTTTTTTCAGATCATTATTGGAAAAATTCTAGGTAACTGAGAGTTGTGGGAGCGGGGTAGCTCAGTGGTAGGGCACTGAGCTTCCAATGCAAAGGTCCCGAGTTCGAACCCCAGCTCATGGCAGATAATTTATTTATCTGTTTCATTGGCCGTGGAGCGACCTTGGGTCAGGAGTCCCTTCTGGGGCACACCCAGCCTCTATAAAATGGGTACCCTTAATTAAATAATTAATTAAGGGGGAAAACCTGGCGGTTGAGCGTGATCTCGGTCAAATCACCTCCTTGCACAACCGTTGACCTAGAAACAGTGCTTTCCCTAAATAGCACTGAACCCCAGACCCTTCATGGGTTGTAGTGGTACAGGTTTAACTGAGACTTGTAGTAAGTAATTATATATAAAAATATTTTTACTTCATACTCACTGTCCATACAAATGCTAACTGTCGAATATGAAAATATGTAAAATTTCCAATCCTGCACAATAGTTATTGCAATTGTAATTAAATATTTTTAAAGAGCGAATAAAAATCTTCAAACTTTCATAAAAGCATTAGTGAGGAAATTACAACATCCTCTGTATGGAAGCTGAATTGATAATGATATCAGAGTGGTGATTTTCAGATTTGATAGTTAGCCTTTGTATCGACAATATTTTAGATGAAAGTGTGGCTCGTGTCGATGCTTTTAAATTTAACTCTGAAAAAGGTAATAATATCAACATCATATGGAAATGGAGAGGTGGCGGATCATAAAATCCTTGAATATGCAGATGATATAGCTGTTCTCCGAAGCAATCAAGAGGACATTGAGAGACTCATTAAGATTGATAAAAGAAGCAGAACGAATTGGCTTACAAGGAAGCAAAGGAAAAATAAAATGTATAGATTATATGCCAAAAATTCTCAACAATAATCGAAAAAAAATTTCCTGATTTTTCCAGTTTTTTCAAATCTTGTAATTATACTATTTTAATAGCTACCATTAAACAATATTGAAAAGTTAAATTAATATAATACCTGTCTTTGTAGACATACAATTGAAACCATTTAATAGTATCAGGGGCTGCAGCAGCAACTTCCTCAATACTGGAGGTTGATAGCGTAGAGAGAATAAATACTGATCCAGCACGTCCGACCGCTATAACAGACAATGAGAAGGTATTGGAATCTATTTTATGACATATACATAAATTTATATTTCAGGTTGACAATTTTAGCCAATTCCATTTCTTTTTCAACCCTGTGTAAACTTTGTAAAAATTTGCAAATTTGAGGTTCTTTAATACCAGTTTTAAACCTGTTCATGGAGCTAACTTGTTTTAAAGACACAAATTATTTGCATGTTTTCCTACTTAATTCATTGTTACATGGTTACATAGCTCTTTATAAGAAATACATATTTTTATATAACATATATTATGTGATAAATTTTAAACAATTTTCACAAATATTTGAAAAGTATATGGTTTTATACCTAATAAAGTGCACTGCAACTGTTTGTTTAAACATTTTCTATTGATTCTATCTATAGCTGTACTTTATAATAACTGTGATGATATTATGCTTTTTTTTATGTTTTTTAAATTGTATACTTTCACAAGTATTTTTGAAAATAAAATTATCACTAATTATTTTTCTTTACCTAAAATCTATGTTATATTTTTTCACATCTTAATTTCTCTCCCTCCTCTTACAAAGTGACACTGGAATAATTTCCAGTTTACTCTGTTTTAAAAATATTTTTGATGCTAAATTTTATTCAACATAAATGTTACATTGAATGAATGAGGTGGAAAGATAAATACATTTCTATTGTTAAAAACTAATTGTCATCAATAATTATTTAAGGAAACTTGAGTGATGATTTTCTATCATCTGATCACTTTAATTTTTTTTTGGTTACAATGAATAGTTCTTTTTATTTTTAACTTTATAAGTTGCTTTTTGACAAGTTTAGTGAACAATGGCAGTAATCTTGAAATGCTTCAAAAAATGTTATTTTTAATTCAGATATTTAAAATATAATTATTATTTACATCAGAAAATAACAAAATCAATGATTTAGACATGAAAAATACAATTTTCTGAATACTATTGGTGCGATGAATTTGCACATTTTATGGCCTAGAAATTTTTATTTTACAACATTTGATGTTTGATCAATTTGACTATGTGAATCCGTTTCATATAATTAGTTTTTTAATGGTTTGAATTCTCATGTTTAAGTCATAAGTGTCATACTAAACACACATTTATCTACTTATCAAAAAAATAAATCTTATATAATGATAGTTTTAAGTACTTGCCCCTTGCATTGGCACATTCTCCATCAGGATGTGCCATTTTCTGCATTGCTGTTGGAGCTACCCCAATCGGCACTTTTACCTCCCTTCCTTGGATAGTGACAGCCATATCTCTGGTAGATACATCTCGAAGAACTCTTGGACGTATCCTTATTCTAAAAATAAAGCCAATGGTAACAAGTTACATTAAGTTACAAGCTACATTAAATTATTTATCTAAATAAATATTTCAATGTAACTATGTCACAATGTTAGGAGGTGAGAGAGCTCAGAGGATAAGCACCATCTTTCAAAGCTCAAGGTCCTGGGTTTGAGTCTGGGTCAAGAGACTCTTCTGGAGCACACCCAGCCTCCATAAAGAGAGTACTCTTAGTTAAATAATTAATTAAGGGAGAAAACCTGACGGTTGAGTGTGATCCCGGCCTGATCACCTCCCGGCACAACCGTTGGTCTTGAAACAGTACTCCTTACAAAGTACTGAACCCAAGACCATTCATGGGCTATAGTGGTACAGGTTTTTTGTTACAATGTTACTTGAAGTATTTTATTTTTCATCAGAATATTAATTTCTATAAAGGAGTATATTTAGCCTCAAGTTGCTGGGAAGTGCCCAGCAATAAGGTACTATTCAGGGAATGAAAATTTATATAACATGATAAAAAACAATGCATGGGAGAAAAAGGGAACGATAGAACACTATAGATAAAGAAGTAGCTCAATAATAAGTCTATTACCTGTAATATAATATAATATTTCTCAATGTTATTTTTTTTTATTTTTTTTATTTTTTGATATGCCATATCTTCATTAATGCTTCATCGAATCCAATTATTTAGCCACCATTTTGAAAATTATAAAAAAAAAATTGAAGAAAAGAAAATTTTCTTTAGGCAACAAAATTTTCATCACTAATTTGCTGCAGTAAAATAATTAAAAAAATTATCTATCTTAAAAAAAAAAAATCCTACCATTTAATTCTTTTCTGTATACAACAATAACAACTATCTTGTTTTCTTACATAAATTATTATTTTTTCTTCACAAAATTGGTTAGAATGTACAAAAATATTTTTTTTGTTTTAATTAACTTTATTACATGAATAATTTATAAAAATTATTTAATACTAAATTTTTGTTTTTCTGAGTTCTTTCATTACAACCATAAAAAGTTTGGATGTTTCATGATAGTGGATTGATAGTTGACTGTCGTAGTTATATCGAAGAGATGTTGATTGGGGTGTTCAGTCAAAAAAAGAAAAAAGTAAAAATAAATAAACTATATATATATTTATTACCTTTGTTCCGAATTTTCCACCTAAATTATAAAATAAAAAATTACATGAAATTTTGTTTTGTAAAAATTCCATAAATATGAAATATATTAAAATAATTACAAAATCCGATATTCTGTACATTATTAACTTACAAAATACTAGATATTACTATGACGATATTAGATGCATATATTTAATCACAAAAGAATATTATTTATGTTTTTGTTTTGAAAAATATTATGAGAAAAGTCAATTTTGTGTAGTGAAAATGTGTAATATACAACAAAAAGAATTAAAAATGTTCTATCTTATGCAAAATAAAATTGACATATATTAATCAGGATGCAAAAATTCATAAAAATAAACTTTTTTAATTAATTTCAAGTCTTTGAAAGAAAAAAAAGAAGGCAATTGCGAAAGAATCCTGACTCATCATGATAAAAATTATATTAACCATTTGAACTTTTTTTAATCAAAAATAATTTTAATAAATCAATAAAGGCAATGAGCTGATTATGGGTAAATTCTACTTTAATTACATCTGCTGTTAACCTTGCTAGATCATCGTTAATAATAAAAACACCAAAAGGAAAACTTAAAAATGTCCAAAAAAATGAGGTTGTTGATATTTGTCAGAATAAAGTGTTAATTGTATAGGTAACAAGAGATAGCAAACAACATATATCTAATCTTTACATTGCATGTTATCCCTGTTATATAGAAATTGTGATAAACTGTAATCAGATAGATAAAAAAAATACATATCATGTTATAAAGTCTGAGTAAATAGATTTTCATTTTATTCTAACTGAGTAACAATCTTTCAATTGAGGTATTTTATGGAGGATTTTTCTGACATTTCATACTATAATTGACAACTAACTTTTATTTATAAAGCATTCAATACTTCAATTTCAAAATAAATAATGCTGTGTTAATTAAATATATTTTTAGTTAAAATAGCAAACCCCAAAACTTTACCAATATTTAAAATAGAAAAATAAAATTTAAATTGGCTTATTATATCAAAGACGTCATGTAGTACGAGATTAAAACAAAAGTAATCAATCTAATACAGCAAATGGAATTCAGTTAAATATCGACCAACATGTAAATAATTTCAAAACCTAAGAAAAAGGTCAAATCATTTTAAAATTAATTTTCAGACTGCTATCGGAGTTATAAATCTTTTCAAAATCATCAAAAATGATTATTATTAGAGAAATATGAGTTACTTATACATTTTTCAAGTATGTATTGTGGAGTGCCTAATTCAAATATATAAGAATCAAAGTCTAGGTTTGATTTTTTCAAACCATTTTTATTACCACTACCCAAAATAAATATTAAATTTGCTTTATCAGAAAGTTAAAAAAAATGAATGCTTTATTTATTTTTTAGCCTACTTTAATAAATAGGGTGAATATGATTTTCCATGATAATTTTATTATTATTATCCTGTTATATTATTAATAAGAAGTTGAAGTTTTGGTAGTCTTCAAAATAATTTTTAAAAAATCAGATAATCGATTATATCTTACATTACATTATAAACACTTATAAGCCATTACTTTTGTTAAATGATAAAACTAATTACTTTATATATGACAATCAGTTATTGATATAATAAAAATTATAATTTCACATTGATACAAATTGGCCATTAGTGCTTAATGTCAATAAAAATGGAAATAAAACCTCAAAATGTCAACTTATAAAGATAAAATTAAGAAGAATATAAAAGTATTTGCTTTATTAATATTAATTTAGTCTTCCTACAAAATTTATTAGAAAGAAGGTATTATTTTTCAAAGTTTTTTAACATAGTACAATGAACTATTAAAGTAACATAAAATAATTAAAACAAATAAATATTTAAATGTTTTACAACTCATAGAAAACTGAGTTAATTTGTAGGTTTTTTTTTTTTTTTTTTAATATTAGATAAGATGATAAAAAAAGAAAAATTAGGATATAAAAGGGATATTTTTTTAAAGGTTGGTAGCTCTGGATCCAACAATATCTTAACTAACAGAAGGTCAAATTAAATTAATATCCTTTATTTATCTTAACAGCATTTCACTTGAGAAGTACTCTTTCAATTTCTTTTTCCTTTTCAGAAATTCTCAGAAACAAAGGATCTCTTCAGTAGAAATAATATTTATGATGAGGCATAATATTTTAAATTAAAAATACTTATGAACTGTTTATATTTCAAATAAAAATGTCCTATGCCAAATAATTAGTATAGCTTCCTCACCATTACTATTGAGGTACGTTTAGACATTTCACAAACTATGGGAAAAACAAATATATAAATGATTGTTTCCCTCTGCAAGTATTTTTGTTTTTGATGTTTTCCATCTGCTGTCAGTAACAATAGAAATAAAATAAATTCAGCTTAGTGATAATGTCCCTATATATAATGCATAATATTTAATGAGTTTAAAATATATTTCTATTTTTATTTATTTCAGGTATATTATTTAACGGTGTGCTATAGTTCGTAAACACTAAGATTTCCTGATGACTCTGTCAATGGCTATAATCTGTGTTTTCCTTTTTGAAGCCTAGGAGATGCTTGCATATCTCTGCAGTTGCGCCATCAAAATTTTTGAGGACTAATTTTTTGTGTGGTTTCAATTAAAGATAACTTTTAAACTAAGCAACAGAGGAGAAAACTAAACTACAATTTTTATAATTTTACTTTATTTTCAATAATTGTAAGAAGAAGAGAAACAATAAATTTTGTTGGGAAAGGGAGGGGAGCATATACCATCGCCCTTAAATTCTGTCAACTCTCAAAAATTGGCGTTCTGGACAAATGAAGAGTTTCCCTGTTTGTAAACCTGGGCTTTATCATGACCTTTATCAATAAACTATTGTTTCGATTAGGTGGTAAGCTTGGCTGTTTATCTTGAATGACCCTGAGATAACTGGCAGCTGTTAATGCAATATGTTATTATTTGTTATCACTAGCGGATCCAAGGGAGGGCTTTCGGGCTGAAATCCCTACTCCCCAAAATATAATAAAAGTAAATTATTTGTATTTGTTCTATCATATTCTTCTATGATTGATCTGATCCAAATACTTGAACAATAATAACCATAGATGCCAGCTTTGAGGGAATCTTATACCTGGGGGAATTTTATGAAGAAAAAATAGGCTCTCCAATATTTCACAGTCATTTACTTAAAATAACTCACAAAAAATTCAATATATTGTATAGATAATATTTGTATTACAAGTTGGTCCATTCGAATAATTCGCATAGCATATTGGTAAATGAACCGATAACAATAAAATATAGAAATAAGTATATTTAATGCATTATAAGAGGATCCTTTACTTCCTATTGAACTCATCAATTATCTAATTGCTCAGACAGATAAAGTTCAATGCCTTGTACTCATATTTAAGAGAATAATGACATGGGACGCACATATCAAGAACAAAACAAAATCTCTAAACCCAAGACTATGACTATTGTATTCACTCCTTTCAAAATGTTCCAAATCAAAACTTAGACAGAAATTGAATTCATACACTTATTTAAGCCCATTTGGAACTGCGTTTTACAGATGTGGAGAACAGCTAAAAAGACCCACATAGGTAAACTATAAACATTTTAATAACAAATTATTTAAGGACCATCACCAAGGTTTTCTGGTGCATCAACAACATTACTTTACATAAAGACTTACTCATTCCAACAGTTAATAACAACATACGAACACACTACAAAACATTTCACCATAACTTACATGGACATTCCAATTCACTGATTCACGGCTTCACCATGACCAACATGCCTGACAAAACCAGTAGCAGGCTCAAAATATGCTGTATGAGGGATCTTCACTTACTACAAACATAAAATC